ATTAGCTGTTTATGAAACTTTTGATCACAAAAGCATTCCAATGGTGCCACTAGGGCCAGTGCAATCACACCAAACAGCAGAATATAGAGGAACTGAATTTTTAGAATTTACTGAGGTAGAATTTAGAACTGCAGAGGTTGCACTACATGATAGAAAACCTAGCTCCAGCCCCGTTTTCTCAAACAGAAACTGCACACCAAAACATTCACCATTCTGCTAAGTATACAATATCCAAAAAGTAGTGGGGAGCTATAAAACTGGATGATTTCAAATACTAAGTACACAATAGAAGCACTAGAGAGCTATTGCCTGAGCTGGGTTCAGATAACTGCATTACATAGAATATAATTGAAGTATAATCTTCTGATACTACAAAGCCTCTCAAAGAATCTATTTAAAAAATTATAATATGGATTTATAAATCACTTTCAAAAACTGTTTTCTAGCAATAGTCTCACTATTATATGCCACAACATGTATACACACTCGAAAGTTAAAACAAAATACATACTATACATAATTATTACATAAGAAATAAACAGAGAACACTTTTATGAAAGGAAAGATATTCAGGCAAATATGTCTGTCAAATAGCTAAAGTGAAAGCAAATACTTAAAGTATTCTTTTATACAGTTCAATTGTACAACATGAGAAAAAAGATGATACACATTTATAGTTACAAATATAATCAAATTTATGTTTACAATTGCCACATCAATGATGACTTACAGGTTTCCTAAATGGCAAAGCTATTTGTCGTCTTAAAGCATGAAAGTAATTTGCAGGTGTACTGCAGTTAACAACTATCATGTTACAGTCATGTAACTGACGCACTGAAAAGTCTTCATCAATAGTCTAAAAAAGAAAATTTAAATTATTTCATAATTTACATTTAATTTTTTTATAATAATTTAAATTTAATTCTCATGTCATAAACAATAGAAAATATTAGTGTTACATATAATGTAGTTATTAAATTCTAAATTAATGTCTTAATCATAAATATTGTAATTATGAGAACGTCATGAAATGGGCGTAATTTCTAAATTCGTGGAATTTTATTTCTTTTCCTTCTAACTGGTAAATAGAAAATTAGTGCCCATTTACCTGCTGAGGTAACACATACTCAGTCTACGATGAAAAGAAAACTAAGCACTACCATGACAGCTCAACATACATAAAAAGTACATACATATCAATTTAAAAAAATACTGTTTTATAAAAAGTCCATAGTCCCCCTTTTTTAACTGTTATTTTATCTGTTTATGATGGTTTACACGTATTTAGGGCTTTTAAAAACGATTTCATCAAAATTGCAAATAATAAGAATAAATTTATATATATATTTATAAAGAGCAGGTCTGTTAGTCAAACATAAATTGCTTAATAGCATATTTAGGGCTTTAAAAAAATTTCATCATCAAAGTACAAATAATAATAATAAATTAGATATATTATAAAGAACAGGTCTGTTAGTCAAATGATAAGCTGCCTAATATGGTTAATGTGCTCCAGTAAAATTAATATTTGCATTGGAACTAGAAATTAGCTGCTTATGTTTTCTAACATTCAATTAATCTTAGTGATTTACTTACAGGAAAAACTTCCATTTCTTCATTGCACAACTGAAGGAAGCGTTCTGGTCTTGCACTAGAGTGTTCTGGACCCTAGATTTTGAAATAAATTAACCTTTATAACATTCTCATGAGTAAAAATTACAGTCAAGTACACCGACACACAAAATTTAAGGAACAATCATGTTTTGATCTAACAGTTTTAAACAGGAATGATTAGAATATGGGGAAAATTTTACATCATGTACGAAGGGTAATAACAGAGTGATGGACAAAACTACACAAGTATAACAATAGATAAATGTATAAAAACATTTTGTTTAGAATTGTACAAATTGCAATCATAAAGATGAATCACTGTCAAAGACTAAACAATGATAAGATTGTTTTTCAGCCATTCAGAATGATCACCCAAAAAACTGAGAAATATTCTGCAACACACATCCATATTAAAAATGAGATTGTTGATAACTGTTGGTTGTTGATTGAGATAAACCAATTTCTCTGTTCAAGATCTTTCTTATCTGATAGTGAACAAATGCTGGTGGATATATGGTTGTATCATAAAGCACCTATTCAAAGCATCCTTTAACCCGGCGGAAGTCGCACCAAGGAAAGTTACTAGAGTGGGCGCGTGGGGGTTAATCACACATACCCAATTTTAAAATCGATAACAATAGTTTTTATTTAGTTTGAAGCTGTTTTTCTTGTTCTCGAGTTCTCTGTGTATTTAAATGCGTGAAAAATAATGGGTTTCAAAATTTAATTTCCAACATAATCTAAGAGTTAAAAATTAAGATAAATGAAAATAGAACAATAAACTCATGCCTCTACGTTTCATCATCATTGCATCTTTAATACGCCAATGCTTATTTTTATTTCTTCACACTCTGAAACAAATACATTCATGTATTCTTGGCCGGACTGGTTTCACATTTTACACAATTGCATTCACGTATCTTCTGTCTTGGCACTATTACAATGAAAGTGATGCCTTCAAATTTATCACATCTTTCCATGTTGTTGTTTCGAATTTCAATGTATTCTTTTAAATTCTTCGGCGCAAACTTCTGCTTTTGTTTTTTGGCATGTCGTTGTCAGTTTTTCTTCTTTGGTAAAGAATTAATCTCTGATCTTTGTTCAATACTCTTTTTCATTAATTGCAATGCTAAGTCCTTCAAACACAGACTTCTGTTTCTGGTTGGCGGATTAGCTAGTGTAGAAAACAAAACAGGTAGAAAATATTCCTAGTTTTATCTTCAGTTCCGAAATGTAGTCTTCATCACTTTCAAATATTTCTAATAAATCTTACAGGCGTTGCATCTCCAATTCAATGGTAGTCATTCTTTTTACCATAACGCGGTTAGAAATCTTTAAGAATTTAACGTCAAATACTTTAAAATCACTTGCGAGTAGAAATATATACTGTTACGCTCCAGAAATAAATTTCTGAACTAAATATTCAGTCAGAAAAGCACTTACGCGGACAGGCGCGTGGGGTGTGTCCATACCCCAGTTCCCAACAAAATACCGATAAATCTTTTCGAAACACACAGGCCAAAGAACAAGCGGTTCTGAAAGTCAACCACAAGTAGTAACTCAGCTACTGAATGCAGCACAGAATTTCAGTTTCACAAGTTAGGAATATTCTACTTTTATGAAGGTGTGGGGTATGATACACCCCACGTGCTTTCCCGTGGGTTAAGTGCCCATAGGTTGGAGAAACAGACATGCCAAATGATTTGAACACTTTTCATTTTACCAAGGTTTATCAATATAGTAGGATGCTGAACTAGTCCAAAAAAACCTGCACCAATAAGCAGTCCCTTGAAATAAATGCAGCTGGGACAGAATTATCGCATTTTACTAGCATCCATCAGTCACAATATTGGCCTTCCATTATCTGCAGCCCTATGCTTCTATCCAGCACAATGCTTTCCTTAACAATAACATTTTAGATACCATATCAATCTATCCAAATCATATCTGTGGGATAATAATGTGTGCCAATTTTTTACCAGATCAGCTGATGTCAGGAATTACTGCAGAGAGTGAATCTAATCTTAGTAAATGGCACCTTTTCTCAATACACAGCTGTTACTCTTTAAAAGCATGTATAGGATGAAGGAAACCTGGCAACTGTGCATCCAAATAGGCATATCAGGTATTTCCAGGCCTGACTAACTGCTAAGTTTTCACTCCAAATGGAATTTCTAGGTAGAACACCACACAGTATGGTTCAAAGTTCTCCCATCTCTCTTTCCTTGCCAGCAAACTCTTGAGATGATTTCAGCTCACCATGCTTACAAACATCTACACCTCCTCCGAGATTCAAACCTAGCCTCTTCAGTAGAGCATCACTAGCCACTGTCCAGTCTGCCCAACTACTCTTTTTCTGACAAAACATTATTCCTTACACTGTTTGTGCTACCATAAGTGATGATAACAACAGACAAGTATTTAATGGAGAAAATTTTACTAGTCACCAAACAATTCACTTTCATGCCAGGCCAAAATAAACTATGAATACTGCTACCAAATTTGCCCACAGTTTAACTAAAATATATCATGCTCACTTTTCCTATGAAGCTAGCATGGACTGATTTTTGTTGTCTGGTAGCAGTCTTTCTTGTAAGACTATAAAAACCACATCACCAATGAACGTGGTATTTGTGTTATGACCAACACAGTATTTTGAACAGCTGTACCAGCTCTTCTAAAAGCCTTCCACACTCAGATTACACGGCTAAGGACAATAATAAACTTTACTCAGACTACTTATAAATTACTATCTCATGCCAAGTTAATTCAATTTTTTCCAATAGCCATTGTATTATCAGCAATACAGAATGAAACTTACATGTAGCAAAAACAGACGGTTACAGAAATTATCATAGCATTTTTCTGTTAATTTTAAAATTATAATCTTTAAAAATATGATAAATTTATATATTAAGCTTTTGATGAAGTGTGTTCATCACTCTTTAAAATGTAAACAAATTAAATACCATTCCCTCCATTCCATGAGGAAGTAACAAAACAATGCCACTTTGGCGGACCCATTTTGCTTGGCCGCTGCTAATAAACTGATCAATAATGCACTGAGCAGTATTCATGAAATCTCCAAACTGAGCTTCCCACATAACAAGTGCATTTGGATTAGTCATTGAAAATCCCAGCTCAAATCCTACATAAAATAGAAAATTATAAAATCATGAAAGATTTTTCACTTCAGTCATAATTCAATACAGTAAAAATCTATAAAGAAAATACTTAACACAAAACATTTATTACATAGATTCATTTACCGAAAAGGGGACTTATCTTCTGTAGCTCGGCCTTGGCGAGAAAGTGCATTTGTCACATTTTTGCATTAGTGACAACAAGCAATTACCGATCTCTGCATGTGTAAGAAACAGTAATCTATGCATGTACTAGAAACAAACAATCTGTCCTTTGTAACTGCATTGTACTAATATAGCGGTTTTTCACTGTAAAAATACTCATTATGCTTACTATTTTCAATCTTCTATCAAAAAAGATACTTCAGTTGATGTTTTAAGCATTATTTAGAGCAGTAATTGGTAAATTGTAGCCAACAGAAAGTGTACATAAAAATGAATTTTTCAATATATATGTAAGATATAACAAAATATGATGACCACTTTAAGAAATTATTGGTGACCTCAAAATTAACTATTCTAAATTTGGTGGTCTTCCCCCTAAGTTCATCTGTTCTCCCAAATTTGAGATCTTTCCCATGTTACATAACAACCTAAAATTAACTGATCACAGATTAGCTGTACTTATACATCATACTTAGTATGAATAACTACTATGTCATTTCTTTTCATAACTTCTACCCTGAAAACAACTTTGCCCCACTTATGCTGTCCTCTCTAAAATGCTTACATCATACTTTTAAAATCAGTGTACATAAAATTTATCATATTTAAATATGATTGGATAAATTCCTTGTCTACAAAAATGATCTAATGTGAATTTATAATGGAATAAAATTATGTTTTGAAATGGCTACATCTGGAAGTTTGTGGTTTATGCATCCATCTTTCTAACTGCATAGACTTCAAGCTGCAGCACATCAAAATATCCATCCTCGGCCATGACGAATGCAAGCTGTTAAAAGTACCGGATTCCTCCTATACAATTAAAATACTATATTTATATACTCAAGATTCTAAATCAATTGCTAACAAAATTATATGAAATAAAATACTAAATAGAATATGTAGCATGTTTATATATGTTGTTATTTAAACTTAATTGCTTATATAATTGTACTAAATATGATAATATATGTATATATTAAATAAATTCTGCCGAATCGTGTTATTTTAAATAAATAATGGAAAAAATTATACATAGTAACAAACATAAATTTATACTAAATGCCTTCTATATATGTGTAAAATATCTATCTTTCAAATAATAAATTAATCATAGCCCTTTAACTCCGGTCTTCTTTCTATAAATAATAATAACATTTCTGGACTGTGTAACTTCTACATTAATTTGAGACAGGAAGCTTGCAAAACGCTGATGAGGTAGTAATTACAAACCTAAACTCTGAGAACTGAAACTTTTCTAACTCAAACAAAAACCTTCCTTTTCATGAGCTTCCATATTGGATAAGTATGCACTTTAGCTTCTTTTTGTGCGCTGCTTGTACATAATTTCACTGGACTCTCTTCTTATCGCAAAAGTATTAAAAAATGTTCTTAAATAGGCATGACTAAGGTTCCTAAGGCACAATGAAAGTGCTAAGTTATTGTTACCACAATTCACTTGGCATTCTAATTGTGCCTATTGTGCCATTTATATTTTTGATACTTTTGCGATAAGAAGAGAGCCCAGTAAAATTACATACTAGCAGTGCATAGACAGAAGCTAAAGTGCAGTCATCCAATATGGAAGCTCACAAAGAGGAACGTTTTAGTTTTAGCTAGAAATGTTTAATTTCTCAGAGTTTAGGTTCCCAATTATGACGTCATCAGTGTTACGCAAGCTTCATGCAATAGATTAATCTAGAAGTGATGCAGTCCAAAGATGTTATTATTCTTTATAGAAAGAAGGTAGGAGTTAAAGGGCTATGATTAATTTACTGTTTGAAAGACAGATATTTTATATTTTACATACATATACATTTAATAACTTGTTTTGTATAGATATTGAATAAACTGCCAATTTATCACAATCAATTTTCTTCAAGGATGTTTACAACATTTAGAAACAAATAGCACTTTTTTAAGTCTGAATGGCACCAATGATGTTTTTTCTCACCAAGGCCACTACAGAAACAAATACCTCAGAAAGCATTTTAAAACTGCAAAAAATACTTAAATCAATCATCTATAATATATACAGAAAAATCTATACAGTCACTTAGCCATTAATGAACAAGAACATTCTTCTTAGTCAATTCCTTTAATAAATATTAACTGATATTCAGATATCAACTTCAATTTTAGTTTGCAGCTTACCTAAGACAGCATATTCAGAAAGTGAACTATTACACACAGTATAAGGAGCTTGGTCAGGCCACAAATGACATAAAGGTCTATAGGTGGTTTTGTCAATAGTTTGATGATGAAGTACATGATGACGGTGACTACATAAACAACACAGAATAAGGTATGCATAATGCAAAGGAATACATAACTAAAAAATTCTGACATAACTGGCTTAGCTAACATAAACATCATAAACATACATACTATTAGTATTTATTCATTTGATCACCTGATAATGACTTTAAATGTAAGGTTTAAAGCAAATGTAAAATTTTCATATTTTTAAACTTTGCTAGTTTAACAAATTATTAAAACCAAATTTAAACACATTAGAGATGATACACATATTAAATATATTTCCAAAAGGGAAAAAAAAATAACCAGCATAGAAAAACTGCAGAGCATAAATTAATTTTCTTGCATTTTGAACCAAAACAGGTTTTATGCAAAAAGTTACTTTCAAGATAGTAACTGAAAAGAAGTATGTATTGTTAATGTGCTGCTGTATGGATTTAGACTCATAATGAGATTTTTAGGTAAAGATTTATTATTGCCTAGTAATTTTTGGGTGACAACACAGTACTACAAATAGCTTTTAAACATAAATTATTAATTTTACAAATGATATATTAATTTACTTAGAATTATGTAACATACCCATTTACTTAGAATTATGTAACATAGATTATTTTACTTACTTTCTTATTTAATTCCATTTTTTTTCCCTCTAAAAAGATTCAAAAGTCATTCAGAAATTAGATTTTTGTATAATGCATATTTCTAAACGCTTGAATATCATATTCCCTAAATATAAGATTTATTGGTTTCTTAATACCTCAAAATATGCCTTAATAATCTTTGCCCCGCTTAAAATAATCTAACTAAATTAATTTCACTACATGTAAAACTAAGGCAGTGAAATTATAATAGTATCTGACATGAATAATACACATAAATCTGATTTAAGTAGGTCATGTTTATCACTCAGTCCTTGTACAAAAGATTCCAAGATTCGTGTCCAAGATTATTTTTCTATGACACTTCATTTTCTCATTTTACATTTCATATTATTTGTCTATACTTTCAATTCATTATGTAGTATATTTACAAATTTCATAGTTCAGAATCTAACTTTGTAAGATTGATTGGCTAGATTGTAAAGACATTTAAAAAAAAAAAAAAAATTAAGACATATTAAAGTAAGGATTTGCTAGGCTTTAACATTCTGTAGTACATACTCACTATCTACCGACATTTAATTAATACCATGCTGTAAAACTTTTAGACAAGGTCAAAAAATAGATAAATATCTATCAATGTTAAAGGCATGAATCTTGTTGCTTTATTAGAAACAACAAGGAATACAAACAGAAAAATAACCTTGTCAATATTTCTTAGAAATACAATATATGATGTCAATAAATATAGATTTTTATAAACTTATGTAAACATTTGTTATGTATTTTGGGTTAGCATACAATTTTCTTATTTATATTAAATAACTGATTATTCATTTTTCTATTACGATTTTGTATGGATTTACTGCTTAGTTTAGTTTGTTTTAATGTATCAAATGATATGTAAACAATTACTGCAGCTTTATAAATGATAAAAGCTGAGCTATCCCGTGTTAAAATTGACTGCACCTCTGTGACTTTCTGAATATCGTTTGGTTACACATGAGCATTCCGAGAAATTGTACTCTTCCCTCTCAGCTACTTTCTTCAGTAAAGTTTAAGTCTAGCAATAATCATGAGCCATTTAATTCTGTTTTCTGTAGTGAATTAAGAGTCAAGTACTCAGTAATATATTTTAGCTTTACCTACTAGAACAATTGGAAAACAAGCTATGAATTTATTGCTTCCTTTGAAATCTGACACTGTGAATTTTCATCACGAATAATGGTATATTTTTAAAAACTAATCTTATATTTGACCTTACTTTTGTGAGTTTTGGCAATGGTTTAGAACTGCAGGAAATATATTTTATTGCCAAACTCATTCAAATTAAAAATCATCGAATATGTTGCAATGAAAGATCAAATTTCTCTTTCCAGGCATCAGTTTGTTTAAGAGATCAGTACAAATCAAGTGCAATAACAATAAGTAACTGCATTCATATCAAAGAAAATTGGTATTAAAAATGCATTCGCATACATTCCCTCCACGACTAACAGGAGAAAAAAGTGACTAACATTTTGCACAATTCAGGTAAGGCACAGAATCTTGAAAATTTAATTTATTAACTTAGTAAAAGTTTGAAAAATATCAACAGGGTTTTACCTGAATGTACCACGTTCAACGTCTTGACCACTAAGCCTAACATGAATACCATCTTTCAATAAAGATCCGAAAGCTAATGCTTCAGCCAGAGCCCAGTCTACAACACGGTTGTCAACCATTTCCATTCGAGACTTGAGAATTCTCTTAATACCGGGATGTGTTTTGAAATTTCCAGGTGGCGGGGAACTGAATGCAACACCAATATGACGCAAAATACCTTCATCGACACCAGTAGGATCACACTTATGAGGACTTTTGTTTACAAAGAAACCTTTAAAAAATTTTCAATTGTAATTATGTAAACATACTGCTAATTAAAGTATGCATATAAAAATTATATACTAATAATATATATAACTATATCTCATATTAAAAAAGCAAGCAATATACAATACATATAACTTTTACATAAAATAAGCTTAACCTGGCATTACTTTAACTAGTATTCATTGGTTCCTTGTAAGTCTCTCCCAAATTAATGTATGTAATTACTAAAAGTAACACAAACAACAAACAAAATTTAAAAAAAAAATTTTTTTTGAAAGTTTTCTTATATTATGCCCAAAGGGGCTTTTTTTCTTTTTTAACATTCTGCATTTTTACTTTATTTATTAAATATCATGTTCTTTGCACTTAAACCATATAATTCAATTCCACAGCAATATCACAAAAGAATTTCCAGTATACAGTCTCGTGTAGAGATAAAAAATTTTTTTTTCCGTAAGTCCCCTTGCATTTCTCACTTGAAATCATTGAGTTTTTACTCAAAAATATATTAAGAGTTTTACAAATATGAAACAGATATAAAATAAATTCCAAATTTAGGCTTCAGATGCCCATATTCGAGGGAAGACTACGTTATCAAAATTGATGTCTCTTAAGTACCGTTGATTTTTCACAGTGCAAAAAATATACATATATTCATCAGATTCTTCATTATTTAACTTCTTTAAATATAATGCAGGGGTCTAATATTTGGTGGCAACAATTTGAAAAGTGACAAAAATTTTATATGCCGCTTATAGTGATTTAACACAAAATAGCAAAACGAAATCAATAGCCCTTCTTGGCTAACGCTTTTTGGGCTAATAAAAATTCTTAGTTTCAAGACAGGTCCAACACACAGACAAGCCAGAAGACATCTCTCTGCACATTAATAATGTTTAAATTCACTTTAATTTCAAATCATATATTTGCTTTTCTGTACAAACTTAGCATTTTCTGTTATATAGAATCATGTCCATTTTTGATTTCATATTAACTCTGTTTGGTCCTCCAAGTATACAGTACTATGGAATATGGAATAAAATTTAGTATTATATTACCTTTCCAGGGCGAATCGAGCCAATCAGTATTGTACATTCTGATATCCTTCTCAGCATTATTGTATGCTTCTTGAAGTATAGCTTCATACCGTGCTTCCTCTTCCTGAAGAAAAGTTCACAAAATTTTAAATTCATCGAATTAAGCCAATAGGAAAAAAAACATTAACATTTGAAATAAATGTTTTCTCGATACTGTTACTTAATACTGTTTAATGAAGGTCAAGGGGGACACAAACTATGCATTTCCCTCTCTTCACTGAACAAATTTCCTTTAACAGTATACATTACTGACACACATAAGCATTCAATTCTAATACTAAACTCAAATGTTACTACACTCAATCAAACAAATTTAAATACAATATATAAAACTGAATGCTTAAAATTTTATGTTGAGTTTTGTTTTATAAATGCATTTTTTTTAAAGTGCAGTGGATTTTGCTTTAAATAGTTGCAAAATGTAATTAACTACTAAAGGAACTTGGAAAAAGTTAGTGTTCTGATTAAAAGGTTTCCTAATCCTCCCCCCACCAAAAAAGATAACATCATCCCCTTACAGAATAAAAATAAAAAATATACCTACAACAGAACAATAAATATCTTTATGGTTGTTAGTTAAAAAATTTATGCTTTGACCATTAACTGAATTAATGAATAGTCATACATAAATGTAAAGACAGTGTACCATGTATCCATACAGTAAAAAAAAAGGGGGGGCTAATTCTGAGAAGGAATTTGTTTACATGTGAAAATGACATAATTTTGGATGATGATGGGGGGGGGGACTTGCAATACCACTAAGAATCAAAACAGTGGATTTTACAAAAAATACTTCAGACAGAGTGAAATTAATACCATACAGAAAATTTGAAATGAAACTACTCAGGTAGCACATAGCCCTCATTATGGCTTTTCTCAACCTCCAACAGGCAAAGTGAATGGCAACGTTCATATTGGTAAATGTTTGCCGAAGCTGACAAATTTACACAAGTGAAGCATAAAGAAGATGGTGTAACATTTTAAACTAGGCATAAATTTAAGTCATCATATGGGGGGGGAAAAGCAGAGTGGCTGAATAAATTTCCCCCCCAATCAACAAGATACCCTAGCAAATACACCACAGGTTTCCCAGTTTGAAAAATTTTATGCCTTTTTATGTTGCAGAATGGCTAGAAAGCCCAAAACATCACCCCTTTTATGAAGAATTATGTGAAAGATACAGAAAGGATCTGAAATTTGCCCAAACAGTGATATGGTCTCTATCAAGAAAGGAACCAACAAAAAATTGAGAATAAAAAGATAACAAATTTTAATCAAACATAAAAATTTTTAAAATGTTATGTTTAATATAAACAAAATAAAGAAGGCATCTTGAATGAATTCAATAACCAAGACATTACAGACATTATATTACTGAATACGGTATTCAGCAGTTGAAGCAACAATCATAACATTGCAAAAATACATGACTTGCACTCTTTCAACTGCAAATACACCGAAAGTCAATGATAAATTCATTCTACTCACCTCAATTTCTTTCTCAGTGACCATACCTTGTTCAACAAGATACCTGCTATATAATTCAAGAACTGGAAGCTGCTTTCTGATTTTTGTGTACATCAATGGCTGTGTAAACATCGGCTCATCTATTTCATTGTGACCATTTCGACGATAACAAACCTGAAAACATGATTAAAGCAATAGAATTAAAAATCAAATTAAAGAACAATGAATAAAAACTGCATAAATAATTATCTATTAAGCAAACATACTGAGGTTCTTTATGAAGTAATTGTCATTCTTTTGGTCTCAAATATATAATGTTTTAGCATTCATAATGATTGCTAAAAATGCTTGACATTAACTTTTATAAGCTTAGCAATAAAATATACAAGGTGCATCTGAAAAGTTTGGTGAATAGTCCCGAATGTTAAACCTCTCGATGCTTAATTTTTTTATCAAAATATGTTCAAAATATCATAATTTTTTAATTACATATTTCAAATCTACATATATTTTAAGAGTTAAAATAAACAAACTTTTTTTATAAAAAAGTTTTCAATATAGAATTAGATCATAAAAAAAAAAGGTTGTTGAATTTACTGAAGATATCTAAAAGAAAATTTTGAAAATTAATCTTGGTTAAATTATGATTTATTTTATAAAATATAGTTGTAAACGTATATACTAATGAAAATATATAAAATATTTACACAAAACATTTATCAGAAATGAAGTGTAATATGCTAAACTACAAAAAAGGCTCAAGGCATCCTACCTCACCATCTTTGCACCAAATATGTGTTTCTTTGAGAATTTTTTGGCCAGTTTCAGTTCTTTTTTTAGAAACAAACAGCACAATGTCTACGAGTTTCTTTCTTGATGGAATTGGGAGATATATATGTAGCAAAATGTCGAGCAGTTAGTCTCAAGATTGAGAGTTGAACTATAGACATCTTTGAGCTTTGAGAAGAGCATGCAAAACGTGTTTGTATATTTTGCAGAAGTATGGACAACTAATGCCAGTATTAACCCAGATCTGAACAAATAATTGTACATCACGGAAAAGCCGAAATAAAACCATGAACAGGATAAGATATGGTTGCCCAATTAAATAAACGAAAAATATGCATCCCCACGGAAATCACGGGTTGCGTGAATTTTGCAACTTCTATGTTGCCATGGAAATTGCGGGATACACAGTCAGAGGGTTAACCATCATGCTGGTTAGGATGTGTGCTGTCGATAATGCACTGAGAGACATGTCAATAAGCAGGCCCCTATAATGCAAATCACCACAGTGGTGCACACTATGACCAAGCTAACAGTGTGAAAATTTGTGTCATTGCAAAATGAAGTGACACATTAGCATGAAATTTTACTTCAAATTAGACAAAATAACATCAGAGACTAATGGAATGTTAGTGCAAATGTGCAATGTTGAAGCAGTGAGTAAAAGGTTTGTGTCTGAGTGGTTTAAATACTTCAGAGATGGAAAGAAAGGTATCGAGGATGAGCTTTGTTCAGGTTGACTGTCAACAAGCACAATCCCAGACAACATTGAGTGAGTGAAATAGATGCTTGCAGATGATCGGTGGCTGTCTTTAACCCTTTCAGGACGGGCATCCCATATACGCATTCCCTAGAAACGTCTCTTACAGACGGGCGTCCCATCCATGCATCGCTAGAGATTGCATTCAGCGGACAGGTGATTTGTATAAGCATTTTAAGCTGGAACGTATTTCTGAAGGCCACTAGATGGCATCCTATGTCCATTACTTTTGAAATGAATGCAGTTTTAGGTTCTTGACCTTGAGTTTGATATATTCTTACAAAGACTTTGGTATTTTACTCATCAGCTCTTGCGAGGCTGGGAGGGGGGGGGAAGGGAAAGCGTAAACGGAGGTGAGCTCTTTAAATTGCTACGTGCTAATGAAAACATTTGCATGTCTGATTTATATCCAATTCCTTTTTTTACTCTATTTCTTTCCTTTACTATGTACGGTCTTTTAGGGTTAGTATGTGGAGTATTATTACGTTTTGCATTGCTTTCAGATATATTTCAGTTTCTTCTCTTTTTATTTCGGAAAGCCTCACCTCCAGTTATTATGCGGAAAATGTATTAAGAGGAAGATACCCTCGTATGTCAATGAACCATTATTACGCAGATGAGGAGTGATGATTTTTTCTAAAGGTTAAGTGATACTTCTCCTGCTTCGAGATTTACCACACTCAGTCTTCATTTTAAATTTTTTTACTTCTTACTGTAAATAGTCTTTATTGTGTTGTTTTATTAATTTTAAACTTTACTGATGGATTTTATCAATTAAAACTTTGGAATAATTTGAATAGCTCTTCCAAAAATTATTTTACAAGATAAATAATTCTTTAAGTATATTTTCATGTAAAATAAAGAAAAAACGTTATTAAGTGCTAATTTTAATATATATAAGAGCTCAAGTAATAATCTAAAACGATACCAAAAATTGCGATGCTAGAAGCGAAACTTTATTTTTTTTTCTGATTTTTTAAATAAAATTAGGCTTAGTGATGCAAAACCTCCGTCCTGTACGGTGACTGCCTTCGATTCCCTTCCGTCCCGCAAGAGCGTCTCAAACAAAGGTGCGCTGTCGCGAAAAGGTTAAGAATGATAAGGTAAAGTTGAACGATAAGGAAAGACAAGACAAAACATTCAAAGCACTACTGTTCACGAACATTTGAAAAGTGGAAGAATTGTGCCCAATTTGTACTGCACACGCTGACAGACGAGCAGAAGTAAACTCGGATGGAAATACCTGGAGATTTCATCAGGACATCTGACCAGAATCCCGTTTTTTTAAACCAACACTGCAGAAGATGAGACCTGGTAATATCAATACGATACGAAGACCAAGCAACAGTCAGTGGCATGATGTTTATAGATTACCCCCACCTCCCCAAAAATGTAGGCTGACAAAATCCAAGATTAAGACAATGTTGATCACCTTTTTTGACAACAAAGGCTTGATAAATCATGAATTTTTACCCACGGTTCAATGCGGAAGTTTAAGGGGAGTTTTGAAACGACTACTGCAAAGCACCCAATAGGTTCAGCCAGAACTGTACCAGAATGGACAGTGGTGACATGGTTGTATGCACACTGCAATCATTGACAACCATTGATATACATTGACATGGTTGTGAGACAACCATTGCCATGGTTGTCTGCACACTGCAATCCACGTGTTCAATTTTCTTGCTCAACAGAAGGTGGCTGTTCTTTAACACCCTCCTTATTCTGCAGATTTGGAACCAGCAGACTTCTTTTTGTTTCCCCACCTATTAACCCTGAAAGGCTTAGACTTCACAGGTGTTGTAGTTACCTAAAAATGCATGACCACAGTGCTTTGAGTGATTCTACAGAAAGCATTTGCTCACATTTTACAACCGATGTCAAAGTGTTGTAGCTAATGATGATTACTTTAAAGCCCAGTAAAGGTATTTTGTCTGTAATTCTTGTTTCCTTTATTTTCTGAGACCATTCACCAAACCTTTCAGACACACCTTGTAAAACATTTATTAAACTAAATCCAATCTGACTGACACTGCATATGAGGATCTTTACTATTTCATTAAATATCAGAAGTTCAATAATTTGAAATAAAAAAAAGTTGAAATTAACCAACTTTAAATACTTTGGTAAACACAGATTTGCACAATTTTCAAATCACTTCACTTCACTTACTCACTTCACTCACTCACTCACTCACGCACGCACGTACTCACTCACTCACTCACTCATGCACGCACGCACGCCAAAAAAAAAAAAAAAAAAAAATTTCTACGCATAAGAAACAATGTGCTGATTTATCAATAAATAAATTTTTATTGGTAATATTCCTTTTACAATGAAAATAATATGAATGAAATAATAATAAAATAATGAAAATGAAATGCATGCATTAATTTACAATTTTATTACCTTGCAACATTGCATAATTACACAAGAAAAGACTGTTAAAAGCTTAATAGTTGGCATGCTAGTCTTTCATCTCAGAAACAAGAAACATAGCAAATATCATTCAATAAGAAAATACATACTAAATATATAAAAAGTTCAACATAAATACACATATTTATAGTTCTAAAATACAATCTACCTTCCCCCCTTTAAGAAGCCAAGTGCTAATTTTTAGCCTTATTTATTTCATATCATTTACAGCTTTTCAATAAATTTAAATTTTGAAAGCTTTTATAGCTATTAAACAATACTTTTAGTATTTTAAACTACAAGAAGGAAGGATTACCCATTACAAAAAGAAATGGTTTTATTCAAATTCATTACAACAAAACATACCAAATCAACTACAACATCCTTTCCAAATTTTGCACGATATTCAGCAGCCACATTTGAGACATGAACTACTGCTTCAGGATCATCAGCATTAACGTGGAAAATTGGAGCATTTACAACTCTTGCTACATCAGTACAATATGGTGAAGATCTTGATCTTCGAGGATCTGTAGTAAATCCGATCTAAAAAAATACAAACATACAACTGTAGACAACATACAACTATAGAAAATACAACTATGGACAACAAATAAAGAAAACAACATTATGTCAAGCAATATTTTTGGGGGCAAGAAGATATAATAATGAAAATATATTAACATGTTTTTTACTAAAAGCACATACATGTACAGATATATATGGACAACAAATAAAGAAAACAACTTTATGTCAAGCAATTCTTTTTGGGGCAAGAAGATATAATAATGAAAATATATGAACATGTTTTTTACTATGTGCACAGATATTTATAAATACTGGAAGATCCTTTTAATACCAAACATCAACTGTAACAATTTGATATTCCAAACATTAAATACTTCTTAAACTGCACTTAACTTAATTTATGACACTATAAACAGAAAAATCTTAGACACAATTTCAATGAGCAAGTAAATACACCATGAAGAACTTATATGTAAGCAAACATCATGACGAACTTATACATGAGCAAAAATAGTTCATCTGTTTTGAGAAAAAATTTCCAATTTCTATCAAATTGCACTAGTTTCTGTGCTTAAGGGAGAAAGTATCAGAAACAGTCATCCCCCCTTCATAATGCAAATGGAGCTTTCATAACATAGTTCAAAGAAAAACTCTCTTTTTGATATATAAATTGTGCATCAGCACAAGTTGAATGAACTTACTTTAATTAAGCAATCTCCAATATATTTATTGTAAAACAACTGATCTGCATACATGTGAAGCGGCATACTTAAATGTAAAAAATTATAATAGGAATTACAAACATTGTCACTATCACAATGTATATTTTATGATAAGATTTATTTATTTTTGGTACTTGGACATTTCATTGATATACTGCCAACACATAGCCCATGGTTTTCCTTTCCAACAAGTATTGTGGCAGCTTTAAAAGTTCTTCCAAAGTTTTTTAGACTGATGCATTTTCTTTGCTTTGCTTTGCTCTTTTGGGGGAAGGGTTAAGGAAGAGTAGTCTCCTTTTTTCTTTCAACATCAACTTTAGACCAGCACACATCAGCATCGCATATTTTTTATGGAGACGGAGGCAGCCTTTCGCCATGGAAATTCCATAGGACAACATTTAACCCTCTGGCTGGCAAGGCCACATATATACAGCCTAGACTATTTTTTGCAACATCTTTGAGATTTACGACATGTGAATCTTGAAATATGTCCAAGAAAGTAAGGCAATATATTAAAAGTGCATAAATCTCAATATTAAGTACTAGAGGCATTTTGACACTAAAATAATAAAAAATAAAAAAAAAAAAAAATAAAAAAAAAAATTTTTTTCATGGCAGTTAGGAAATTTGGTTATATATATATATATATATATATATATATATAGCAAAATTTCATGCTGGTCAGAGGATTAATTCTCTCAGGTTCAATTTTACTGCATTTTGCATCATGCATGTTTGCAAGACTTGCCGAAAAACAAAGCATACGCAATTGGTAGTGCCAGACACCAGGCTGGTACCAGACAAGTGGTATTTTATTGAAAAATCAAGTGTTTCCAGCAAAACTGCATATAAAGAAAGATTAAGATAAGGGTGCAATGCTAAAAACTGTTTTCCAAATATTAAGAATAAGAACTGAAAACTGGTTTGAGGGAAGTCACTTACTTTCTTACTTAAGAGTTTGTATGAAAACAGAGACAAACAGCATATAATAGTAACTGCTTTATGTGACTAGAAATAATAATAATAAAATAGTCTACTTGATAGATCTGCTGATGTTAAATGTATAATTTATCACCAGAAAGTGTAAACAGATTTTTGGAGTGTATCCACAGATGCTGAAAGCTAATAAATACTCAACTTATATCAACTGTATTAGACCTCATTTTAAACTTAAGTGATGCAGGTAGCTGCCTAGGGCACCAAAAACTGGAGGATGCCAGTTATGTTATTCTCACAAGTAGTAAGTAAATTAGAGTATATTTTACCTGAAATTATAAATACAGTTAATTTACATGTTATTACATTAATTCTACTAGAGTACCAAAAATGCAAGAGCCAGACTTATTACCTATAGCAGCGGTTCTCAATCAGTGGTACGCAAGAGAAAAATATGTAGTATGCAAAAAAATCAAAGTATTTTTAAGTATTGAATTCAAAAATTAAATACCCCAACACCCTCCTTACATTTTGTTTCTCTAACACTTCCAAATTTATGCAATCTGCATTCAAGATCAATAGCTGCTTATAGACTCTAGAAAAATAAACCGTTTTTATTCTCGCAACTATTCTTTTAGCCATACATATAACAAAATTACTCACAAATGATGTTATTAAAGCCATAACAGAAATGGACATTGCATTTAATAGGAAATAAAAATAAGTTTCTATTGAAAAGATAATAGTATCTCATTAATTCTTCTAGAGTTGATAGATTTATTAGCATGTCTACACTTTATGTCAGTTCATATTGCTCTATTTTCAATTTAATGTTTTTTTTTTTTTTTTTTTTTTTTTTTTTTAATATTATCAGCTTTCTCTAACAGCAGGTATTTTTTTTTTTTTTCTTGTTGTTTTTACTCCTTTGTGAAAAATAATAAAACAAATCTAGATTTTCAAAATAGAAAAATGGCTAGGAAAATTGACGATTCGCAGGTAATGGATCCAGGACAATCTACTAACACTAAGAATACTGAAAAGAAATATTGTTTACAGAAAATATAATGAAAGTATCATTTGGGTTTACTTGGAATGAAGATGAAATGGACCCTCAATCTCAATGTGTTGTTGACGGTGAACTATTATCCTATCAAAGTATGATAACCATCTTTTCTCAAAAGGTATTAAGAATCTAAGCATGCCAATTTAAAGGATAAATCCGAAGAACATTTTAAGAGGAAATTATCGTAGTTCAAAAATAGTAAACAGGTAATGAAAATTTTTGCTGCTTCAAGTGAAAAAGCTTTGGAAGCTAGTTACCTCATAAACCTAAAAATTGCTAAGATTGGGCAGGCTCATACTATTGGAGAAAACGTTATATTGCCAGCAGCTAAAGATAAGATATCGCTTTTATATAAATGAAAAAGCGGTTAATGAACTTAATAATATTATATTATTAAATGATACAGTAAGTCAACGAATTCATGAAATGTCAAATTCTATAAAAGAGACACTTACTCAAATAAAATACAGTAAGTGTTACGTATTGCAATTGGATGAAAGTACTAATATAATGAACTTTTCAATTACTAGTTTACATATGTTTCAAAGAAGATAAACGGATTGCCGTACAGTATTTATTTTTTGAATCTCTTCATGATAGAGCAATTGCAAATGAAATTTTCAAAGTAATTGACAATTTTATGTCCGAGAATGACATTCCTTGGAATAAATGCATTCCTTGGAATAAGCGAAGTTCAGGCTTAACAGGAAAATATTACAGTGTTATTTCTCAAATAAAGAAAGTCACACCTGAAACTAAGGCCAAAACACACCCTGGAAACCTGAAAATCGTTACAAATCAAGCTGTGAAAATTGTTAATTTTATTAAAAGCCAAGGTTTAAATTCAAGAATATTTACGATTTTATGCCAAGAAATCAGCAGTAAACATGAAACACTTTTGTTACATTCCGAAGTATGGTGGTTATCCAGAGGCAAAGTTTTAATTTGTCTTTCTGAGCTTCGATCAGAAATTCAAATTTTCCTCTGTGATTAAAAATCTGAATTGCAGAAATGTTTATTTAGCAAATTATGGTTGGTGTGCTTAACATATTTAGCTGATATTTTTGAAAAGTTAAATGACTTAAATTTAGGATTACAAGGACAAAGTATTAATTTGTTTATCATTAGAGATAAAATAAGTTCAATGATTAAAAAAAAAAAACTCGAGCTAACAATTAAAGAAATTGATAATAATATTTTAAACTTTTTACCAATTTTAGAAAGTTTTCTGCTTGAAAATAATTTCAAAATAAAAGAAGAATGTGCATTCAACATTAAAAATCATTGTTTTCAATTGATGAATTTCAACATGCATTTTCCTGAGGATTACGAAAAAGAAAATTGGGTTAGAAATCCCTTTTGTTCAAATTTGCCTGAAATCCAGAACCTGAGATTAAAGAACTAAGAGATAATCATTTAAAGAAAACCATGTAGGTGATAATATGGGAATTTTATTTTATTACTAATATGGGAATTAAATAAATGAATACAACCAAACATTTACAGCAAATTATTTTATGACAGTTTTTTTTTTTTTTTTTCCTACACTTATGAATTCTCCTACTCTCCTTCTTAATTCGGCCACTTACCTGATTATTCACAACAATATGAATAGTACCATGAGTAGAATAATCTGGCAAATCACTTAAATGGAAAGTTTCATACACAACACCTTGACCTGAGAAAGCAGCATCACCATGAAGCAAGATACTCATCACCTAAATGACAAAGAAAAATTCAAATGATTCATAAGATTTGAAATTATTTCACTTGATATATAATTAAAAATTGCAAATACATTGGGTCATCCTGAAAATTCTGTTCCCCCCTCCAATCATAAATATATATGAAGCAGCAATGTAAACCACATAACCACATGTTTTGTGATATTTGCAACTGGAAAAATCTTTTAAAAAAAAATTACATTTATTCGTAAAGAAGTTAATGAGGTGATGTTTGACAGTCTCCAAAAATGTGAATGCCAGTATGTTCAGAGAATTTTGAAGCAGTCTAAAGAGATGAAAATCTGTGGAGAAAAGATCTGCTGAAAATGGGAAATGAAGCAAAACATCTCAGACATATTTTATCTCACACTCATTGAAACAAGGGGCCAGGTATTGTCATGGTAGAAGATAACACCTAGATGACTGATCAGTTCTAGGTGCTTCGCTTAGGTTTCTCCTATCAAAATTGGCATTTGGGAAGTGTTTTTCCCAATTTATACTTTGATTTGGTGACAACAATTCATAACACACAAGTTCTTTTTAGTTCACATACATAAAGCATTACTTTTTGCGGATGCGCCCCCATCTCCTTGTAACCAAAGAAGGATTGTTTGGCATTACTGCAGAATATCCATTTCTCATCTTCAGCAATGAGCCCCCTTTTTTAAGGCTCCTTCATTTTACTTGTATTTCAGCAAAGAACCACAGGCCAAAATTTGTACAAGCATATTCAGCTTTGTTAAATCACGGGGTAGACATACACTGAAGTAACTTACATACCTGATGACATGACAGCATACTATACTTTTTGGAACATTTAGTCTATTTGGTAGTTTTTGCATTATATAACACAGAGTTTCAGAAACAGCATCTTTTAATATGTCCTTGTTTACAAAGTATACTCATTAATACTCGGACACTTTTGTTTTTATTATTCTTGTATTTACCACAGAGTTGAAAATTTGGAACTTACCTAATGATGAAACATCTTCCATACAATTTCTTCAAGAACGAAGAATCGTTCACTCTGGAAGAAAGTGCACGGAAAACCATAAAATTAAGTTCTACTTCAATTCGAAAGAAATATCAGAATGGAGAAATGAAGATGTGGATTTGAACATTTCTGCGTTAACCATAAATTTATCAATTCTGATACTAGTTAACAAACTCAAACTTTTGAAAAGTTATGGGGCAGTGTGAAATAGACTTTAATGTGGCACGGAACATAACCAATTAGATTCTTATTTGAGTTAATGTAATGACAGCAGCATCCTAAAATGTAAATCTTTTCAGACATTTTAAATGATATCTGCAGTTTCATGCCTCTGCATTAATCTTAATTCACTAAATTCTCTAACCAATTTTTTTTTTTTTTTTCTAATTTATTTGGCAAGGTTTTGTTTCTTTGGTAAGTTGCTTTATTTATATTAAAAATTTCTAATTGTATGAATATCTGTTATGTTAGTCCCCCCCTTGGATTTTTCTTCAACGGAACAGTATCATAAATATTTTGCCAATTATTTTTATGCTTCGAATTTTTCGCCAAAATCATCAGCTTTTGATGATATCTGAATCCGGCTCTGCACTGAGAGGGAAAAAAAAAAAAAAAAAATATGCCATAGCATATGATAGAATTACAGAATGTGAACAGTTAAGACTGCATTTACACATATACTTCAAACAAAAGTCACTCCTTTTCAGCAGAAACAAAATAATTAGGGGAAAAAAAATGTGCTTTGATTTAGAAAACAGAATTTTCCAGATGACCCAATACTAGCTCAAATATTATAATTTACACAGAGTATTAATATAAATTTTTCTATAATTCTAGCGACCCCAGACAGCGTAAAAGTTCATTAATATAATCTTTTACAGCCAACACGAGAACTATAAATTAAGTTTGGATAACCTCAAAGAATACTAGAAATCAGTAATATAATCTTAGTTTTTTTCTAATTTGCTACTTTTTCCAGAAAGTGTTTTTATATCAATCCCTATAAAAACTACTATTATCAATTTATGTAAAAGATACTACTAACATACTACTAGTTTTGATTTAATTAATTGAAATAAAAAGAGTAATCATTCTTATATATTTTAATATTTCAACATGTTATTTTTTTAATTCCAAATTTATCAGGCACAAAATTTCTGTTCATAATTAAAGAAAGAATGGAAAAGTCACCTCAAAAAGGCTAAACATACCTTTTTCCCTTGAGTATCACCACGGTAAAATTGTTCAGCGCGAGTCTTTCCTTGCACCACAGGATCAACAGCTGTAAAATGAATACACGTAACATTAATTTTGCATTTTACTTCTTACATATCATGTTTTATATTTAGGCAACAATCCGGATCAACAAACTTCATTCAAATAGAAAAATATTATATTAAATGAATTATTTCAAACACAATAAAAAAAAAAATCTTTCAACTTAACTTAAAAACTGCATATCTAAATTTGGATAGCAGATGTACCTACCTTCCAGATGAGATGGGTTAGCAACTACTGCAAGTTTAATATTTTTGTTTGTTACTCTATTTAATCGTTCATGACACATGCCCAAATGATATTTTACGTCACCAGAACCCTAAATAAAAGAAAGATAAAATGAGCAAAACTTTAAACAATAGCTAAAATTATTATAGATGCCTGTCTGTGTTTGGGGTGGTATCTCTTTGGATGGAAGCCCAGATCTCCATATCTTTCTACATGGAATTGTGAATGCTCAGGCCTACAGAAATGACACCCTTGACACTTATGTGAACCCAAATGCTGGGGCAATAGATGATGATTTTTTGTTACAGGATGACAATGCTAGATCGCACAGGGCTTGCATTGTGGATGATTATCTTCAGCAGCAAACAAGTCAAAACCAACTCTGATTAGCTCACCAGATCATTTTCAATTATGCCATAGTGGCTTAGGATTGATGATCCACTTTAGATTGAAGTGTCATCTATTTTCCAAAACAGAGTCAAAAACAATCTAGCAGTCATAAATGGAATTTTTACATCTAAGGGGTGCAGCAGAAAGTGCTCTAACAGCAGCCTGGGAGTCAATAAAGAAGTCAATAAGTCATTTGGCTTCATTCTCTTGCCAGTTTTCTCAAAAAAGAAAAATTCAAATGAAAAACTCTGACAACATATCCAGTACAAAGACGATAAACTTTATTTCACACATTATAATCATCAAAGCTGAATAAAATAAATTGTGAACTTAATGACAATATTAATTCTGAAAGGATTAATAGTATTGATAAATGCAATATGGAAAATAGATACATTTACTGTAAAAAATCAGCATTTTTTGATTAAATGTAGGCGAAATGTATTCTGTTAAAATACTCATTGCTAGTAAAGATGCAATCACATGTAATTTAACAGCTCATTTTATTTTAAACATCTCTTAACAGCTATTGATTACCTCTAATAATACAACACAAAGTCCAAAATCCAGATGACGAGCCAAACAACTAATAAACAAACAAAAAAGTTTCAGGTTTTAATGGTCGCCCAAAAGGGCTCTTTTAAAGTTTCAGTAGAGATTATCAATAATAGCGATGGTTGTTCATGTGGAACTGTGAAATATTTCATTTGATACTAGATGAATAGACATTAAGACTAACAAGGAACATTTTAATATCTTTGAAAAGTTAAAAAAAGATAATGTAATTCTATAGAGGTATTTAAAGTTTTTTAATTAGATGTATAATGCATTAAAAGCATTTTTCTTTCATTGAATCAGATTAAAAAGTAGAAAAATTAAAAATAATGTTCTAAGACCTGATTTTATTACTAATGACAGACAAATTAAATTTGAAGATAAATATCTCACATTTTATTGAGTGGCAATAGACTTGAATGAAAAATGATCAATGCTAAATCGTGTTTTGAGACTAACAGCCCTTTTCGGCTACTAAATAAAATGAAATAATTTTTAAAAAATCCTCCCTTACAAAATCTATGAATGGAGAATGTAATTCTTTACAAAAAGAAGCAGGAGTGCTGTATATGTGATTTTTTCCCCAAACAACCGAGATTCCTGCATATTACGTTTAACACTTTCCAGCACACTACCTTTTAAAGTTAGAATTTCGATTTAAAAAAAAAGGTAGGCAGTCTAATTAGGCCTAGAGGAGTACACAGGTAAAATTTTGTGAAGATAGCACTTATCATTTTAATTCTGTGGGTATGCCTGAAGCAGGAACACCGATTATTGAATAGAGCTTCGAAAAGAGTGCTGAAACGAGCATTGCTTCGAAGCACGTAAAAGAGTAAGAGATTTTGCCTACGATTAAAAAACACTAGATTCTGAATACCCTAGCAGATTTAGCATTACCCAGGGGTGCCACGGGGAAACCTGCTACTCTACACCCCCTAAAAAGCTCTTTTTGGTTACAATGATTACAAGCGTCTGAATGGAAAAAAAGTAACTTGGATATATAATATTTACATTATTTAAATTTCATATTTACACTTTCGTCTATTTTTTCCATGGTGGTACTTTTCAAAGAAAGTGACACCATCTTTGATAAAGCACAACCCAATATTGCACGTTTTGCTCATGTACCAGATGCGTATCAGATTCACTATCTGAATGCAATTCGTGTAGCACTTTGAGTGCTTCAAAAATGGTCAGCCCTCTCTGATACATTTGGAAAATAATTAAAAATCCGACAAAATAAACTAATATTATATCTACAATTAGGAAATTATAAACTATAAAATAAATTAAACATCAAAACTAACAAACATAGCGCTAGCAAAACTTTGGTTTTGAACGAAAGCGAAAAAGAGAACTGCTGTAATGAAAAACCAAACAGCTAATTGGTGAAATTACCCAACTTTCAGACAATCACCCCAACAATTTGTTAGTTGATAACCAAACATCCCCTCCCCCCCCAAAAAAAAAGAGAGAAAAGAAGAAAGAGCAAAACAGGAAATGAAACACAGATGTGGACCCACTTTTCTGTTGTCAATGAACTGACTGATGAGATGCGGAGAAACATAAAATACAGCCTCTCAGTTGTTCTAGTTTCTCAGTGAGTCCACTCTGGGAACACCTGATGTTCGCCATTTCATTTTAGGCAAGATTTTAAGGTAAAAATTTTAAACTAATATAGAATAAGGAGATTAGCATACAGGGAGGGAAAAAAAAACACAGAGAAATTTCTTTTCAAACAATTCCTTTTATACCCTAAAACAATCTAGAAGATTTCTTTGAAAAATAAGGATATTAAAAATCTAAACATGGTTAAAATATATGGATTGGTTTGTGTTGAGCTGCCAACTATAAATAAAGAAGGTTCAGAGTAACCTATAAGTCCTTTTTTATTCAATTTTTCTGTGCGTACAGAAGAAAATTTTTAGATGTTGCAAAGGGTTAGATACCTTCTAGCTCAGGAACCACATTCATAGTCCAGGGCAACATTCTTATCGATGATGTGGTTAAATGACTGGCAAGTTTGGCTATATTTTCTGGTAAATGGATAAATATTAAATTGGAAAAAAACTGCAAGCTGATTTTCTTCTTTTAGTACTTAAAATAATTCTCTACATTAGATATGCAGAGAAAAAAACTACCAATAAAAAAAATTTTACATTATAAGTGATTAAATACATTACATTCTTACCTCATCAGCTGGCTCCAGGCCACTGAATTGTGCAAATATCTGCTCCAAAGGTTTTCGACAAACATTTGCCAGAACATTAAGTCTTCCTCTAAAAAATCATGAAACATAGTATTTATAATAAGATTACCACACAAAAACTATAAACTGAACACATCAATAAATCAAGTTACATGCCATTTCTGGTTACCTAGTGCACACAGCCTTATATTACACAGTTGTCTACAAAGCAATAAGGTTGTTTTGCTTTCTTATTATTTGTATTTACTGGAGTAGCACTCTAAATATTCTTTAGGAATTTTCTCTCTGCATTCACAACTTAATTAGCTGTTTGACACCAGTTTTAAAGCTTATCTTGGTATCTAAACATTTTTATTATATAGTCTCTCTATTTTAAATAAAACTGTTTCTCTTTGAGTTAAGGTTCAAGGATTACCAAAGGTTAAAGTGATAGCGACTATGAGAATCACAGTGCTTGAAAAAGATTAAATTATATTATGGTTTTTTTAAATTAAATATAAACTTGGTTGTTTTGACAAAAGAACAATTTAACCCCTTTAAGATACACATTAAAAAAGGTGCTACAGTCAAAAGTCTTTAATCCGGACTCGTCGGGACTTCGGCGATTCCGGATTATCGATTTTTCCGGATTATTATTGATCATCAGTTTAAATCTGGTAAGATGGCATGCAGAAATTATAAAATTAAAAATATGAAACCGTAATTTATAAAATAATGAGCAGTTATGATCTAAAGGGTATCAAAATTTACAAAAAAAGAAGATTAATATTTATTTGTTTACTTTATTAAACATTTCTTTTCAACGTGCGCATGCGTAAAGCATACATTACGCATAGCCGAAATTAGAAAATTGCAACCAGAAAACTATTTGATTTGTATTCGTGATATTTATAATGACGAGGAATTTGATTTAAATCATATCAAAGACGGAGTACATCAAGATAAAATACTACATTTAGTAAGGAATTATAAGCCGAATAAAATAAAAACATCTGCCCTGAAGATAACGATAGTGTTGACAGATCAACTTCCAGTTCATTGCGCGCCACGACGTTCCCCATCCCCCGCGCAAAGCAGCGTGAAATTGATAAACAGATTTCGGAACGGTTAGATAAACAAAGGATATGCCTTTATCCATTTTTTGTAGCAATTCCCCTTTTTGTTTGATGGACATCGAAACATACTTTCGTTTTGTAGATCCTTTGGGATCTCCAGCATCGGAAATTCTATTTGACATAATCGAAAGTTCAAGCTTACTTTTATAAAATTGCTCTTACAGTCTGCAAAAAATAACAAGCCGGATCCAATTCGAAGATTAAGGAACAACGCAATTATCAACATTAACTGAAATAGATAATTAGATAATTTTAGCTTATACCGTCCGTTATACATTAAACGCGCACGCGAAAACGTATTCTGCGATTGCGCAGACGCATATGCGCAGTCGTAAAGGTCTTGCGTGCACGCGTAAACGTCTATGTGCATGCGTCAACACGGCGCATGCCCAGAAAGATTTTAGCTTTGAGGTCCGGATTATAGATCATTCCGGATTATGGGTGTCCGAATTAACGACTTTTGACTGTATAACAAAACAGATAATTTATTTCAAATGCATAACCAAATGGAATCTTATGCGGCCAGTTGAAGAAATTTTTAAAAATAAACTGTATTACCTTCATTGTAAGGCTCGTAAAATGAGATTTGTCCAAATAAATGCCTCCTCAATCAATTTTTTAAGTTACATAAAACTTTCAATTATAGAACTCAAACGTTTAAATATCAACTATAATGTCATTCCAATTTCTTTTTGGTATTGCAGTCGGCTTCCCTAACCACTACACTGTTTGGGCGGCTTAATACCGAAGGGCCCTGGTTTAAATTCTAGAGGAGGCATGGATGTAAATTGTCTGTCCTCTCACAGGAGATAACAGCGGAATGCAAATTTATTCCAAAAGCTTGTTACATTGATAAGAAAAAAAGGGGGAAAAAGAAAGTGGTATTATTATTATTTAATATCGTATACACTCATAAGTAATACATTCAGTTTCAGCTTTTATTTCATTTATACAGGCACAGGCTGAAGAAAGGCCGTCACCTGTGGATCCATGTAGCCATAATAGGTATCGGGCTGGCCTTGCTAATTGCTAAGCTTCCACCCCCAAATGGAATTTCAAAGAAGAAGACCTTATGAGGCATTCTAAGGTTCTCCACCCCCCCCATCTATACAAGTACAGATTGAAGCAAGACCAGCACATTGTGCATCTATGTAGGTATATAAGGTATCGCCTAGCTTTGCTAACTGCTAAGCTTCCGTATCATGCTGAATCACTGGAATTCAAAGGGAGAACCCTGAAGGGCAATCCAAGGGTCTCCTACCCTTCTTTCCCTACCTTCACCTTCTCGAGAGGATTTTGGCTCGCATGTACTTTGAATACCCCCTTGCTACACAGACACGATATGCTTACAAACATTCATGCTTTTTCTGAGATGTGTGTAACTGCTGTTTCCTGTTAAAAATTGGCCATCAAATGTTAAGCCCTCTGTACACAACAAAATGTGATCAGTATTTATAAATCAAACAGCTGCATTCTGCCTGTACTTTAATGTTAATAAACAAAAAGAGGATCTAGAATGAGTTTTCTATAGTTCATGGTACTTTTTCCTCAAACAGGCTTTTAATATAAATTCGAAAAGCTATCAACGAAAAGTCACAATATAATTTAAATGAATTTTTCCTTAAATGATATTAATATATATACAGGGTGATTATAATTAAAGTTTAAGTTTCAAAACGCTACAAAAAAAGAACCACTGATGAAAATGATGTGAAATTTGAAAGGAATGTTATTGAAGAAGGCGGAAAGCGTATGGCAGAAGAAAAAATTTAGTTTCAAAAGTTAGCAACAGATGGCGCTGTAAGCGGCAAAATCACGACGAGAAACGAGAAGCGATTCGTAAAACAATGGCTAAGGTGGAAGTTACACATTAAAATGCATTGACAAATTAGAATTGTTGAATAATTTTTATTTGCATGACTGTACATATCACATCGAAAGGGACAAATCGGTTTCAAGAGTTTTGCGGCGACATACGCATAAGAACCATTCATCAAAGAAGTTCGGAACTGTCGCGAGACTGGCACAAAACATGTTCAATATGGTGTTGTGTGCAACAAGTTGAAAGCGACAAACAGCATGTTCCACAACGGATCGCAGTGTCTCCGGGGTGATGTTCAGAATATGTTGCGAAATGCGTGCCTTTAATTCCGCTATATTTGCAATTGGAGCATGGAACACAACATCCTTCAGATATCCCCACAGCCAGAAATCACACGGAGTAAGATCAGGCGATCGGGACGGCCAGGCTGTAGGGAAATGACGGCTGATAATTCGAACATTTCCGAAATGGCGCCTCAGCAGCTGCTTCACGGGATGTGCAATGTGCGGAGAAGCGCCATCTTGCATAAAAATGATTTCATCCACACATCCACGCTGTTGCAGAGCTGGAATCACGTGGTTGCGCAAAAGAGACGCATACCTCTGACCAGTGACGGTTGCAGTAACAGGACCGGAAGCACCCGTCTGTTCGAAAAAATATGGTTTTAGGATAAATGATGCCGTAAAGCCACACCATACCGTGACCTTTCCAGGATGAAGTGGTACGGGGTGCGTTGCCAGTGGATTTTCTGTTGCCCATATTCGACAATTCTGGGTATTCACGTATCCTGTCAGATGGAAATGGGCTTCATCTCTCCACAAAATTTTCCACGGCCATTCATTATCCACTTCCATGCGAGCCAGGAATTCTAAACAAACGTCTCCCTAGCTGTCAGGTCAGGCGGAAACAACTCCCTGCACATGGCCAATTTTGTACGGATAGCATTGCAGGATGTTTCGTACAATTTTCAGCACCGTGCTCGTAGGCCTGTCCAATGTTCGGGCAATTCCTCATGCACTGCATGGTTTTGCACACCACCGGCCGACCCCTCCTGTAATGCTGTGGCCCACTTCTTCAACTACCGTCGAATGCACTCGTTTTCTCCCTCTACCAGATTGCCATCAAACAAAAAACAACTGTCGTTTCGAATTTTTGCATCGTTTTTTTAGACCTACGACACTCATTGGACCAACGCTTTCTTTTATACCCTTCAGTGTCCTGAATTTTTGCAGAGCTACTCTTGCACAATCATCATTCTTGTAATACAGCTTTACCAGCAGATCGCGGTCCTGCAGTGAAACACCCATGGCGAACGTCTGAGACGCGAAATGAGGAACAGCCTGGTACCTGGCGGCTTTATAACACTGAAATTTAACTAACATTTTAATTTGTCTTCTTCCGCTTGCAGCGCCATCTGTTGCTAACTTTTGAAACTAAATTTTTTCTTCTGCCATACGCTTTCCGCCTTCTTCAATAACATTCCTTTCAAATTTGGCGTCATTTTCATGAGTGGTTCTTTTTCTATAGCGTTTTGAAACTTAAACTTTAATTATAATCACCCTGTATATACAGTATAAGTCCATAATCCGGACATTCATTATCCGGAATGATCTATAATCCGGACTTCAAAGCCACACATTTTTTTTTTTTAATGCTTTGCGCATGCATGTAATGCGTTTACGCATGCGTGTTTAATGTATAACGGACGGTATAAGCTAGGCTAAAATTATCTTTACTATTCTAAAGCATTTCAGTTAATGCTGCAGATTGCACTGTTCCTTAATCTTCTAATTGGATCCGGCTTATTATTTTTGCAGACTTTAGAGAGAATTTTATAAAATTAAGCTTGAAACTTTCGATTATGTCAAAAAGAGTTTCCAATTCTGGAGCTGCCAAGGATCTACAAAGCGAAAGTCGTTTCGATGTCCAAACAAACAAAAGTGGAATTGCCTGCAAAAAATGGATAAAGGCATATCCATCTCAAAATTATGCGAGGAGTGTGACATTGGAAAGTCACTCTATATGACATAAGCAAAAAGAAAAAGGAACTTTTTGAATTTTTTTGTGGATTCCGACACCCCACTTGCAATGAATAACAGAAAAAGGGTTCGTTATGCTAAAAGTGACAATTGACTGGGTCAGACAGCATCGCAGCGAGGCCATGCCATTGACGTGTACAATGCTAATGGCTCCAGCCAAAATATTTCATGAAGAAATGAACTTAAACACGGAGTGCACATATTCAACAGGCTGGTTAACCACCATAAGACAAATTAAAAATTTCAGGTGAAAAAGCTTCAGCTGATACTGAAGCTGCTGAACAATTTGCAGATGAATTCATTGAACTCATTACTAGTGAACAATTATCTCCAGAACAAATTTACAACGCTGATGAAATTAGTTTCTTTTCTGGCAATATTTTACCATGAAATACCTTGGCAACCTCTACCAAAAAGGCTCCAACTAGTGTCAAAGATTCCAAAGCTAGACTAACAATTTTAGCGTGCACATATGCTGCAGGAACGCACAATTGCAAACTTTTCGTAATCGGAAAAGATGCACGACCTCGAGCAATTAAAGGAGTAACGATTTTCCCCATTATATATTGAGCAAATAAAAAGAGCATGGATGACACAAGCATTGATGAATGATTGGTTTGAAAATCATTTTATACCTGAGACTCGGCGACATTTGAATTCGGTTGGTTTAAATGATGACTAAAAAATAGTCCTGATTGTTGACAATTGTTCAGCGCATACTTCACTTAAAGATTTAGTGAAAGATAATGTATCTGTATTATTCTTCCCTCCAAACTGTATGTCTATCATTCAGCCTATGGATATGAGAATAGTGCACGTGCTGAAATGCAAATATAAAGTAGCATTTTTAAAATCTATGTTAAATTTCTTGAACAATATCAAGACTATTCAAAACTTTTTGAAATTTTTTAGCATAAAATCTGCTGTGTGGAGTATCGCAAAATTGTGGGAGGATGTGTCTCCAGATGAGTTAAAAAGTGCTTGGCATAATTTACAGCCAGTTACCATATTTCATGGTGAGGACGGTGAAGATGATAGCTGTGAATTTGAAGGTTTCTGGACACCGCAAACTAAAGGTGAAATTTTCCAGTTATTGGATTTTGTAAAGAAATGTGGAGAAGCGGTAATAAATGAAGATGATATAACAGAAGTTTTTCATTGCGATGACTATGCCCCAATCATCAATCAATTAACGGATGGCGAAATCTGTAGTATGGTTCTAAATCCAGAAAATACCGCTTCTGATAGTGAAGAAAGTGATAGAGAGGTTATTGAAAATGAAAAAATTTCGATTGACAAGTTAGTCAGTATTCTCGACACAGCAATTACAGGACTTGAACAGTGGAACTTTGTAACTGAACAAGAAATTATGTCTGTTTATAGAATTAAAGAGAAAGTATTAGCACAAAAAATGAAACAACTTAAACAACTTACATTGAAATAAATGTTTAATAAACTAAATTACATTAAGCTATTTTTTGGTAAATTTTGATACCCTTTAGATCATAATTGCTCTTTATTTCATAAATTATGGATTCATATTTTTAATTGTATAACTTCTGCATGCCATCTTACCAGATTTAAATTGATGACCTATAATCCAGAAAAACCCATAATCCAGAATCGCCGAAGTCCCGACAAGTCCGGATTATGGACTTTGTACTGCATATATATAAGGAAGACACCCAAATGTTCGGAATGACAATCAAAATACATCTTTCATTTTGTTTGCTTAAACTGCATTAAAACAAAATTCACAGCAGTTTTAAACAATATATGAACACATATTCATTTCTATGCTAATGAAACACAGATACATTTAACAACTTTTGATAAACTATTTATAGCAAACAATCAACATCTATTTTAAAGAAATATACCAAAAAGTTACTTTTCTTTAAAGAATAAGAGTAAAAAATAATGCATGCTTTCTCATTTTTTGTTACACTGTTGCTAAGTTAATGTGTTTACTACACGCTAAAGTTACTGTGCTTAATTAAGTACTAGCATCTAGCACGCAAGGCTAGATGCTAGTACTTAATTAGCCTGCTCGTTCATCTAGCAGGCAAGGCTGCTAGATGAGCGGGCTGCTGCCAAAGCAAAAGTTACTCCTGAAAAACAAGTGTATAAAAATATTTCAATATGAATGAAATCAATTCATTCTTTCCAAGCAACAACCAATTTGTGCAGAATTTTTTTGCTGCCAAACCAGGATGCAAAACGATAACACAATAAATTAAATTTAATGTTGTAAGGTTTATCCTAAGTTTTTAACAGTTTAGTTAAACCTGTAAAGTATTTCTCCCACCTTCCTAGCGTGCCTTCATGGTGTAGTTCTGCAAACTGGGCCGGTATCCAATGGTCCGTGGTTCCATTCCCAGCAAAGGCGCCCAAACTAAAAGGGTGGTAGATGATGAATCTTCACACCCAGGATTTGGCAACTGGGTCCCCTAAAAACCCCAGTCACTCTTTAAAACAGGGAAATATATAAGGTATTTCTCCCGCCTTCTTAGCAAGCCTTCATGGTGCAGTGGTCTGCACGCTCAGCGCATAATTGAGAGGTGCACGGTTCGATTCTCATTCCAAGGCGTTGCATATTTTTCATCTTGCTTGCTTCCAAAAAATACTTGATGTCTCTACAAAGCTACTCTCCTGTCTTTTCTTAATTCAGCTTACAATTTCCTATCAGAATGTGTTTTTAGAATCGTGGTTAATACAAATGAGTAAAAGTGGTATTTAAGTCGAAGTTCCACTGACTTCAGAACAGAGCCTTAAGAGTTTCTGACAAGCACGCATTTGCCTTTTTGGCTAGGTCTCTTTCTAAGCTTATAAGATATTTCTCCCGCTTTCCAGGCATGCCTTTGTGGTCTAGTGGTCAGCACACTGAGCCAGTATTTCAGAGGTTCGTGGTACGATTCCTGGCGAAGGGGACTGCTAATTTTTCATCTTGCCTGCTTCCAAAAAATGCCTAATGTCTCTACAGTGGCCCCCCGACCTAAAAGGGAGTTGGATGAGATATCTCCACACCCAGGATTTGGCGAATGGGTCCCCTAAAAACCCCAGTCACCCTTTAAAAAGGGGAGTATATAAGGTATTTCTCCCGCTTTCCTAGCATGCTTTTGTGGTGTAGTGGTCAGGACACTGAGCCAGTATTTCAGAGGTCCGTGGTTCGATTCCCGGCGAAGGCGATTGCTAATTTTTCATCTTGCCTGCTTCCAAAAAATGCCTGATGTCTCTACAAGCTATTATTATGCTCAGCCATATTATAGGGCCTTAATCGCTTCACTAGCTTCCATATTTAGGGGCTAACTACTTATTATTTTGATAGCTTCAGTTATATCTTTTTAGTTAATTAGTTAAGTCTTATTTCTTATTACTTTGAGTTCAAGCCCAAGTGGAGGCTTTGCTGTACACCCTGAGAAAGTGGCCAACTATTTTAATTCTTATTTTGAGAAATAAAGGGTTAACTCTTCTTGACTTTACGTCTCTGTTCCTGAACTAAAGCAATTATTAGCTTAACTGTTCGTGAGGTTCCTACATATTTAGCTGTTAGATAACATTTATCTTAAACTGAAACAAGAAAGTTGCTAACAGCAGCAATTTATTTAAAATGCTAACATTAACAAAAAATTTTCGACATACCATCAATTTCAGACTTCAATGTCAGAACATGACTTTATATAATAATATGTTTTTAATGTTTAGCAATAGTATTTTTATTTCATATTTTGTAAAACTTATAAATTTTTTATTAACAAACTCTATAATTTGAAAGCGAGGAGTGAGAACATTTCTTAAAATAAAGCAGATTTTTATCTCCAGCGACTCCCAAGACTGTTGCCACTAGGAAAAGTGACTGCAAAAATTAACATTTTCAGAGTTTTGAATTAATATCTTGGCTGAAGTCGTACGAAGATGAAAGTTGTTGAAATGGCTTACCACGAATTTTTGGAATCTGGGACTACCTCTCTCAAAACTCAACTCCCCATTATTCTGAAGGAGATGATGCCACAAATAAACAAACAGGCAGACACATACAGATTTTAACAGTATATAGAATACAAAGAAGCAAGCTCAAAATACATAAACCCAAGATAAAATTTGGGAGGAACATATATTTCAATAATAAATTCTTAGAAAGCATTAATTTTCTTTTGAAGAAAAATAAGATCGTGAATTCAAGAATATATGTACAAAAACACAATTTGATTAAAATGCCTTGTATTTTGAGCAGAATATAATGCTATACTGCATTAAACATAAATACCATGATAATACACATAAAAAAATGAAACAAAAATATCATATTCATTCATATAAAACAAAGGAACAAATTTTTACCTGTGTGGCATTCCTATGACAATACTTTCAATACCCAGTTCACTAGCTCGATCGATGACAGTTTTCATAGCTGGTATAAGTACTTCACAACCTTCTAAACCAAATCGCTTCTCTGATACCCATTTTCGTGCTAAAAATTCTTCAAATCTGTAAAGTATCTTACAATAAAAACATTTGCATGGAAAAAAAAAAGGAACAGACTCTCTTTCAATAAAAAATTATACTGCTAAACAAAAAAAAAAAAAAAAAAAAAACTTTTACAAAAAAACAGCAATTTTATTTACAAAGTATTTACTAGGACAGAATGTTTTTTAAAAAACATAATTATAATAAAATAAAACATTAATTAAAACTGTGTTTTTAAAATGTATTTTAAAACAAATTTTCATTACTTCGTGGATCGAATAAGACGAGCCATTAACAGTCTTTTCTGTTCTTTAGTGAAATTTAATACACCAGGTGTTTCAAATTTTTTTCGAATCCAGGTGCATTGTTCCTGACTGTTAATGAACATATATTCTATACCAATATGGCCACAGTATACATCCTATCATAAATAAAATAAATATTAGCATGCCAATACAAACAAGCGACAAAATCTAAATGCATTTGATACACTTTATTATATCATACAGTAATGATCAAAAACACATATAACTTTTTTAATAGCTACAATTTAAATGAATAAAAAATACACAGTAAAAATAAGTTCATATTTACCATTTGATTTTTTATGCTTCTAAAAATTATCAATCATAAAATTATATATAAATAATGACAATCAAAAATATCAAGCAGCAATTTTAACAACAGATATGACAAATGTATATTTCCTACATTTTAGAAGTTCATACAGGTTTGCAATTCAAAGTTTTTAACTACATTTTAACAGTATCAGTTAAACTATAATTACAGGTTTCTAATTATAAAACTGCCCAGAAATTGCTAAAATGCATTCCCTGCTTAATGGATACATTTAATAATAAAAATAAAGCCTTATGAATATTTGGGGATTTGGTTTAGTTTTAAGGGTTTCCACTTTAAATCACAAATACATATTTTTTTTGTTATTTAAGCAGACACAAACAAACACACTAATTTTATGCATTAGCAAACCATGCAGTGCTATTTCTAAAGGCCTGCCTAATATCTTCCTACATAATTAATTACGAGGGGTGCTCCAAAAAAAAGTTTACAAGCCAAATGAAAAAGTATTTATTAACAATAGAAACAAAATACAAATGGGAATCAAGAGACACATCTGGCCTTCACTTTTCAACAAAGTCGCCAAACCTGTTTAGGCATTTGTCAGAACGTTCAACCAACTTGTTTATCCCGTCTTGGTAGTAATTCAGGGCCCCCTGCTCATTGAGCCATTTCTCCGGCAGCTGTTTTCACTGCATCTTCTGAGGTGAACCGTGTTCCGGATAAGTATTACTTCAACGTCGGAGAAATGAAATAGTCACTTGGAGCCAAATCGGGGCTGTATGAGGGTGATTCCAGACCTCCCACTTGAACTTTTACAGCAATTCCTGAGTTAGGCGATCTGTATGGGGCTTGGCATTGCCATGTAGAAGAATGATGCCTTTGCAAAGTAATCCAGGCCGTTTGCGTCAGATGGCTTTACGCAAATTCGTTAAGGTGGGACAATAATGATCGTCCTTAATGGAATGGCCATGCTCCAAATACTCGATTAGAATAACACCAGTCCTATCCCAGAAAACGGTTGCCATCACTTTACCGACAGAGGGTGTGACCTTAAACTTCTTCCTCGTAGGTGATCCAGCGTGTTTCCACTTCATCGTGGCTCTTTTGGATGTGGGGGTGAAGTGATGAAGCCATGTTCATCACCGTAACGATGCGATCAATGAAGTGTTGGCTGTCTGAATGGTATCGCTGAAGAAATGTGAGGCTGCACATCATTCGAGTGGCCTTATGCTCTGTGGACAACGCACGTAGAACCCAGCGGGCACAAAATTTGAAATATTGCAACTCATCGGTTACGATATGCTGAACGTTACCATAACTCAGGTCCAACTCTGAGGCAATCTCATGCGAACGGTTACTCGTCGATCCCTTTGGATAATTTCTTCAACACGTGCCGTGTTGATATCCGTCCTTGAAGAACTTGGATGGCCGCTTGCTTCCATATTGCGGTTTTCCACATGCTCCCTGCCCGCTTGATAAGAACGACATTTCGCTACCTGTTGTCTACTCATTGCTTTGTCCCTGTATACCTCAACAATTTGTCTGTGAATTTTGGATTCGGCCATATTCTTGGCCCATAAGAATCGAATTACGGCTCGCACCTCTATGCGAGACCACTTTTCTAGACGTCGCGACATTACTGTCGCTCTTAAGTGTCTGCGTACTGACGCTACTTACTCATAGAACCGCTGTAGGACAATTAGCACCATCTGTCAACCACCCTGGATGGAAATATTCGCTCCACAATTATTACGTTTCAAATGCTTCTGCTTGTAAACATTTTTTTGGATCAGCCTACGTTTATCAGTTAATTAAAAAAATTTCCAAGTAAACAACATAATCTTTAGACACTACTTTGAATACGCCAAGCTTGTATTTTCTGTTATACTGCAAACATTTTCTCCCATTAAAAAATTTAATTAGTTCACGTTTAGTCTCCTGACAAGCAAAAGTACAAGCATCTGACACTATACATATTTAGATTTATTTTAAGCCACCTTAAAAACCAAAAATTCTGAACCATAATTGACTGCTATGAACAAACAGTGCAAACAAAAGCACTGAAAGTTGTTTGATGAAGCTAAATTGTTTCCAAAATGGAAATGAAACAGTTGCAGCAATAATAAATAATAATAAAAGTACATCTGTCACTATAAAACAGATCATACATGAAAACAAAATAGCTCCCTGTTTAAAATATTTCATTAACTCCAGAATGTGTACTAAAATAATTTAAAATTATTTCACTAACCAGAATATAAATTACTTTGTGATTAACCCCGTTCATATTCATTGCTTTTTCATTTATCAAAAGCCAGACTTAAGATTCCACAGTTATAAAAATATGGTCATTTACTTACATATCCCCTCCATAACTGATATGTTGAATGCATTATTTAATAGCACATCTCAACTGCTTTTTATTCATTAAATATGCTTCTCCAAGAAATAATATACACAAAGAAATTTTCTCCTATCGATTTTTAAAAAGTAAAATTATTAAAAAAGGGATACGCAATGGTTATTGTAAATCATAAATAAAAATACAGAAGCTTTTCAATTACTAACAATTTAGCAAAAAAATAATAATAATAATAATAATAATAATAATAATTCTATCATTTTAATTACTCTGAATTTTCATCATGACTTATAAATTCTTAAATTAAAGGTACACTTGAGGGAAGGAACAGGAAAAGATTTCTTAATGATATTAACCAAAACTTAGTTATTAATCCCAAATAATAACAGAAAAAAATTTTTCATATAATTTACCTAAGATTTATTACTTTACAGAAATCAATCTGTTAAATTTTAGATAATAATTACTTTTAATTTTGCATCTGTCAATTTCACAAATATTTTCTTTCTTTTAAATAATGCCCAGAATTTAAACACATCAACTTCTACAGTACATCATCCATCCCCCCTTTATCATACAAAATGCATGTAGTATTTTGATAAAAAGGTCAAATTTAAAATTTTAACATGCAAATTTGTTGGGAAAGCTGCAAATATTCTATCATTAAAAATTAAATAATTTCTTGCGACTTTAATTTAAAAAAAAAATATTTAACAGACCTCTAAGCGTTTAAGAATCTCTCTTAGAGACAGGACATTCTCATCTCCACCAATAAAAGTACTGCCAGGAAGTTTGAAGAGACGATCCATATCTTTTTCCTCTACGCAATGCAAACAGCATAAAAAACCAGAAGTTTCAAAAACATTTAGAGGTAAGAAAAATTACAAATGAATATATATAACTTTAAGTTAAATATTATTATCAAGTTAGATATTATAAAATATGATTTTATGACTAAAACAAATATTCTCATCATATATTTTTTTCTCTTGATCATATTTTTTGACATAAAATAGTATTGTTTTAAATCATTTTCTCTTACAAAATAACTTATGATATAAACTTCTAGCATGAATTATACAAATAAAAAGAAATAAATTTTGAAAGAATCTTTCCTCCCCCTCTAATCATTATATACATTCAATTTGTGCTAAATTAATAAACTATTTTCTAATTTTGACTAAACTAAATTAGACTTTGTTTCAATAAAAGCCATACATTAACATTAAATTTATTATACAATGCTCATAAACTATAAATGCAATTTGCAGCAAATTTTCATTAAAATTTAAAAATGAGAATAGGCCAAAAAAAATCCATATGAAAGAAAATGATGTAAACATTATTAGTATGATTATCATAGACACTACAATTAATATGCTCCTCTGCAAATTTATTTATACCATTAAATCTTTCCTATTTCAATATATATATAAAAGTAGATTTTTCTTATACCACTTCATGGTTCAAAAACTAAAGTTCGCATTTTTACCCAACTGGTAGCTTCTCAACACAACTTGAGGAGAACTGGGAGAACCTTCTGAGAATGGAGAATGAATATTAGCAGCTGTAATATTTAAAGGATCTAATTTGGAAACAAGATGGCCACGAACCTAAAAAGAAGAATTAATAAAATAAAATATGAATAATAATAGCATCAATTTTAAATAAAAGGGTTTTATATAATTTTAACACACAAATTTAATTTTATAATACAGAGTGTCCCACAAAGGACACTTGTTTTTAAAATTAAATAACTTGAGAACAAAGATTGACAGAAGAATGTAACAAAAGGTATGTTTATTAGAATAGCTGTAAAAATCTGATACAGAAGTTTCACATTTAGTTACAAAAGCTGCCAATCTAGAATGTACTGTAGTCACAATTTCTAGAATGTACTGTAGTCACAATTTCTAGAATGTACTGTAGTCACAGTACATTCAAGAAAAATGTAACAAATGTGTCCTCTGCAAGCTGTTGTTGCAGTCACATCACAATCTTTTCAAAATGTCCACTTTTCACAGAACAGAGGTGACGTATTTTCGAACAACGAAATTTTCACTCACCCTTTGTATGGATATGGATGCATATGGCTCACAAATCGACTCTTTAAGCTCATCCAGTGTTTCAGGCTTTTTCTGTCAGATTGTCCTCCAAGGTGCCCCACAAAAAGTAGTCACAAGGGGTAAGATCTTGTGGGTATGGAGGCCAATTGATGCCTGTTCCAGTAAATTTGGAATAGCCCAAAGCAATAACTCTATCCCCGAACAGAAACACCAGTTCAGTGCGGTGTGGTCGGGCCCCCATCTTGCATAAACCACGAGCTGCCTTGTCGATCCTCCAACGCTAAAAGTGTGGCGACAAATTGTTCCAACATTTCAACATAACAGTCAGAAGCGATTATTGCTCTTAAGAAGAAGGGGGTGACAACACCTTTGCTGGATACTGCGGTCCAAACAGTAACTTTTAGGGAATGTAGTTGTTTTGCTTCAACCAAATGGGGGTTTCCAGCACCCCAAAATTGCCAATTTTGTTTGTTCACAAAACCATTCAGGTGAAAATGTGCTTCATCTGTGAACCATATGCAGCCAACATCGAATCTGTCATCACCAATCATTGTGAGCATTTCGTTCGCGAAGTCTTCTTTCTGTTGCACTGCTTGAGCGGGAATGGCTTGGTGACAATGGATCTTGAACGGAAACATGTGCAACCTGTTTCTCAGTATTCTGTGCATGCTGGATCCCGCTAAGGCAGATTCTGCAAGTCTTCAGATGAAGTTCCTCGGATTTTAGTGAATAAGTGTAGAAACTGTTGCAACATTTTCAGAAGTAACTACAGAGTGCCTGGGGCCAACATTCCCCCTAACTCATCAGCCACGCCTCCTGTTCGTTGAAATTTATCAAAAAGCACAAATAGTTTTTGAATCAGGACCTTTTGTAGTAAGTGTAAATCGGGAGTTTTTGTAGTGTTAAATCGGGACTAGAAACTGTGCCTTGTTGCCACAGAACTGAAATTTAACTAGTGATATTTCAGTACCAGAAAAACACATTCCGCGGAATACATGATTTCATGCACGTCCTTCAATACCCTAACGTCTTTTCACGTTTTAACAGTGGAACTGTCCGCAGACCGATCACTCTGGACTTCAGATCACTCAGATTAAACGGACTCCTTGCTGATAATTGGGCGTAAAGTGCCACCAATTGGCAACTTTTGTAACTAAATGTGAAACTTCTGTATCAGATTTTTACAGCTGTCCCAATAAACATACCCTTGCTTCCTTCTTTTATCAATCTTTGTTTTCGAATTATTTAATTTTTAAAACGGGGGTCATTTGTGGGACACACTGTATATAGCACATATATGCAAGTTATAAAAATAAATAAATACAAGCACATTAAAAACAAAAAAATAATCCAATAGAGTAAAATCTCAAAAGTACTTTCTAATTATTCACACCATCAATTTCAACATGCACTATAATTGGCCCGTTTTTTGCTGTAGTTTTGATAGAACATCTAAAAAATAAGATTACAGTCAAATATGATAAACTAAGATTACTCTATGTCCAAGTGAAAGTAATTAATTGATTAAATGCTTCTACAAACTTTAACTGATTAAGGTCCAAATACAATTATTCGATTTTATTTCTTGTTAGTTAATAATGTTATACTTGTGGATTCTTTACAGTTGTTGAATTTCTGAATCACCGACAGTGGTGGCAATTAAATTGAAGTGGTCTATGAGCAGAACTTATGCATGTAATACATTAGAAGCATTTAATATCATAAAATACAGAATCTGGTACAATAATTTAAAAATTAATTTTTTAATGTCTGAATTGATAATACAAACTGGAAGCTTTGGAAGTATAATGTCTAATAAGCTAATAAATAAGCTAATTCTAATAAATCTGATGACAATCATAACTTGGAAGTGTTTTTTTCAGAAAATTTCCAGAATCTTTAAAATTTGAAAACATATAAATGGCTTGCTTGCCGTGGAACGAGCACGAAGGAGGATTACAGGACAATTTTGAGGTAGCAGAAAAAAATGCTTTTGAGTTGCTGTGGCACAGATTTAAGAGGAATCCAAAGTTTTATGAGCAAAGCTGTGATTTTAAATCCAAAGCTTTATGAGCAAATGTGATAGATCAACATTTGTAAGATGGTATTGCAGAAGAATTGAAGTACTTAAAAACTGAAAAAGAGTTACTTTCTTACCGCATCAAGTTGTAATTAGAGAAAACCAAACTTCACATAGTCTTCGATGCATCATCACATGCTGAAGGTAAATTGTCATTAAATGACTGCTTAAAATCGGACATTTCTTTCCATTTGAAGCATTTCACTGTTAAAATGATATAAATATGGACTTGGAGCTTGTGGAAAATCTAGTTGCAGCTCTGAAACCTTCCTGAATTCCAACATGTGGTTACTACTCACATGAAATTTGGTCATGCCTGATAGACAAAGATTATCTTATGAGACATAAGATAAGAATGGGAAAACCCTATTTGGAGGATATATCTAGACAGTATTTACACACAAACAAAATTAATTGATAAGGACCAAAACTTTTCATTTTCTAAAAGAAGAATCAATTGTAAACCATGAACTCATAAGACTATCTACTTTTTCTTTCCGCAAATAGAGAAAACTTCAATCATAGCACCAGTCTTCATTAGTTTTGTCTGGCATCTCAATGAAAGAATCTGAATGGATAATTCAATGATTATGTACACTATATGGAGTTCTAAGACACATTTATTGTATGCTTGTTCTCCTAGAGTTGGGATAGCACACCTATCAAGCATAGCCTGTACATCATAAAAAGAAGCTGCCTAGCATAGCAGAATGCAGAAATTGCAGCAAAAAGGGCAGTAAAGATAACAGAAAAATAGCATAAAGGTATGTTTTTCTTTATGAATGGAGTATGGATTCTAATATCCTAAATATGGATGATTTTAACAAATTTGTTAAAACTTGCAGAAATTCTGGAAAAGTGTGAAAAATTTTAAGGAAAAAAAATTATTCAAAGATACCAATACAGTTCATTATGTCTGATTTTCATACTCTTTGAGGTTTGCCATAATAATATAAAACAGCATTAAGTATATATAGGAAACTGGACAGGACCAAAGATCTATTAGCTACATCCATGGGTTCATTATAAGCTGAGTTCAACTGCGTTTAGATTCTATTACATATATGTAATGGAACGAAAATTGGATAAACTAAAAGAAAATTTCAACAACACTTTCCTTTCTTTTCCATATTGTAAGTACTATTATTAAATGCCCCGTCATATCCTTTTCTCCTTCTCTCTTTCAAGGCTTTAGATGATAAAGAACTATTAAGGTAAGAATTTGGTAGCTTGAAATTTTACACAATTTAAATATCCGGCAATAAAATTAGTTTAATTTGAATAAACTTCACATTATTTAATAATTTGACCAGCAAAGCACTGTTAACTATGAATATTCCAAAATATGGAAAAAATTTGTTTTTAATTTTTTAAAAGTAAAAGCTTTTAAACTGGTATATTCTGAAAGAAAGAGAATAAAAGATTACATTTAATTTTTTAATTCTTTTATAAAAACCTTATCTATTCCATATAAAATGAAAAGAATTCAGTATGAGCCCACAACTAACTGAAGTTATTCATAATTTTTCTTAAATCAAAACATACCAAACAACTAGCTGCACCATCCAAATGTCAATAAGAATATTATCAGCTATATTATTTTAATTTAAAGGAAACACTCAGGAACTAAGATACCAAGAAACTTATTGTTGAAAATCCCTTTTTATTACTCCAGTTAATTCAAAAATACAATCCTTTAATTGCACCTAACCAACTTTTCAGGACGAAATACAGTTTTCTACAAAAATTATTGTACAAGGCTGAAAGTTGAACAACAGAAGGTTTCAAGACTTAAGAAACAAAAGAATTATTGATATAACATTCAAAAAAGGTTTATTTCAGCTTTTTCAATTACTTAATTACAAATGTAACATTATAGTATTAAATTACTTAATTTATACATATAAACTACAAAAATGCAACATTCTAGGATGTTGCAATTTTAAGTTAAGTTTTAAGTCCATTTAAATGTCCAAGATTAAAAAGCTGAATAGAGAGGATTTTGTACCTGTACCCTGTTCTTATTTATGTATATTGTAGTTTGAAGTATGTTTTATCAGAAGAGAAGATAAAAGCAATATGTCTTGATAAAAAAATTATTAACTGCCTTTAAAAAGTGTCAATTTTAACTGCTGGTGTGAATCTGTTTTATAATCAGTGCAAATAACTTGCTGCCAGAAAAAGAAACTCTAAATACAAATACACAGAAAATTAAAATAAAAAGTTAAAAAATCATGTGCTGACAAAATTATTTTCTTTCCTGAATTCATAAAATTATATGCTTCAAAATTATCCAATACTTTGGTAGTAATGAAAACAATTGATCAGGTTCTTTAAAACCTTAAACTTCAAAAAAATTACAAAATGATTTATCATTTACAGTTGTTTACCGCTATTATGATAACTTTGAACAATGAGAAAAATTATCCTTCAATACAGTAATGGAATTTCCGAAAGCGAACATAAATATAATTAAAAATGTACAAATAGGTTCTTTCATAATGTTTATGTCCACGTTTTTAATACAAAATTTCATTTACGAACTGTTCATAACATTCCTCGAAATTATTCGACTAATGCCATATCCCTAATCCTAATACTTGGAGGATATCTCTCATTGCAAGAGAACTTGCCAATGTAAAACTTAAAATTAGGGGGGAGGGAACTTTAGCTTTGTGTAGCTGTTTTCAGTGAATGTTTTATCACAGGGAAAGAAAAAAAAAAAAAAAAGAAGGTCTGCTGAAATTTAGTTTAAAGTAACACACTGAACAACAATTAATTTAGTCAAACATTAATTAAATCAAACAACAATAAATGTCTACTTAATCCATTACTTGCGACATTTCTCTGTCACTTGGCAATTTTTATAATTCAGTTTTGAACTTATTTGGCAACTTTATTTTTATTTAAAAAATTTATTCTTTAACATTTTGTTTATATTAAATGAAACTGTTGATTACAATAAGTAATATAATTCCCATGTTTCCATACACAAATGGGTGAGGCTTCAGCAATTTGATAACAATATCTGGATGATAACATTAACCATTATCACATCAAGTGGCATTTACAGCAATAAAAAAAATGGTAAAAGTATATTTACGGCTACACCTTGGCGAAAATTAGCGATTTTTGGCAGTACATGGATACCGAGTTTGTGCAATTCTTTGACTTGTTATTTTGGTTTTGTGTAGCGGCAATTTTAATAACAAGTCAAGGAATTACACAAACTCGGTATCCATGTACACACTGACCTATTTTCACTTGAAAAAACATCACAGAATTGTACAAAATAGATATTGCACACTCCCTTGACTTTCTTCATGTACACATTGACCTATTTTCACATAAAAAAAATATCAGAGAATTGCACAAACTTGGCACTGTGCACTCCCTTGACTTTGTCCATGTACACCTCAATCAGTTCTCACTTAAAATGTCAAGGAAGCACCCAATTCTAGGTAAAAGTATATTTATGGAACATTCAACTACTCAGGTTACCATAAATGAAACAACTTCATGATAATTACAAGAGGGTAACCTTCAGTCTATTCTAACCCCAAAAAAGGGCAACTTTATAAAAATGCTGGTACTGTTATGAAAATATTTTAATAAATTTTCATACATAATTAAAAGTATGCTTTTTGAAAGAGATTAAAAACAGTAAACGCAAAATCTGAAATCATTAGTAGTTTGGCAATTCCAAATTTCACAAATCTCCATATTTTAGATCATTAATTTAATGACATGCAACATTTAAAGTTAATTTAAAAATTTTTAAAATTAAAAATATGAAATGGTTGTGAAAGGGCATTTATGACTTTAAGAGAAACCAAATTTAAAAAAAAAAAAAAAAAAAAAAAAAAAAAAAAATCATTTTTCTTTCAATGTAACTTGTTTTAGCAAATTTGGTCTTCCATTAATGTGTTCTCTTTAATCATACAGAGAGAGAGTCATAATTTCTTGTTCAGTTACGAAGTTTCACTGTTCAAATCACATAATTGCTGAATCAAGAATTCTCACTAAATATTCAATTGAAACCTCTTCATTCTTAATAACCTCCTATTTGCTCCCTTCATTATTGTCAGTGGTGATATTTTCTGAAGATTTCACCATTTACTGATTGATGATTGGAATAGTCTTGCAGTTATAATTATTATTATTTCAGTTAAAAAGGATGCCATTTCATTTTTGGGGCATCACTGGTTTGGTTGATTTCTTTCCTGATGCAACCATTTTTTTTTTTTATCTTTTTATCTCCACCTTACCCAAAAGATAAATGAGTAGCTATCCTACTTCTTCAAGAAAGTAGCATTGTGAACTTGTTTTGACGCTGTATTTGAACAACCATGAATGAAATTAGAATGTAACTCGAAGAAAGAACAGCAATATTTTATGGATAGAAAACCACACCAAAAGAGTTTGCTATGCATTAATTTATTAGTTTATTTAATTGATGAATGGAGCAATGTTTTCACTATTAAAAACTTCAGTTACATAATCTTCATTTAGCTTTTTTTCACTCATTCCATTAATAAGAAATTCTTGTTTTTTACTTATAATATCTAATGTGCAACTTTTTACTTGCAAGATCTATTGAGGTTTCTTTGCAAAAGAAATCTCAGCTAATTGATAGAAGCATCTATTTATGGTCCATATATATAGTTTTCAGTAATAATGTTCTCCATTTCTATGCTGTATTTAAAACTCGCTTTTATTTCCCCACAAAAGATCTAGTTCATATACAGTTACTATTTTTTAATTCATTAACTTCAAAATACGTAAAAGTCAGTAAAGGTTTAGTATTAAGCTAACTCATACTTGGTAAGAACGTATGATGGCCTGAACTGAAAGATGATCTTCAATGCCCCTTGGTTCCACATGCTGAGCTGAAACTGCAGAGGGAGTAAGCGATGTAAGAGCTGTACCTTGAATGTGATCCAGAGGAACTTGGACATACTGGATGGGAGCTAGGGGTGGGCTCTGATAAGCAACACCAGGTTCAGCACCTTCTGATGTGTTTCGGAAGAAAGCATCCCAAGACTAAAAATAAGGACACAATAAATAAACAGAATTGTATTTTTTATGCATACCTTAAGTTTATATGAAATTAAAAAATACATAAACTTACGACGTAAATGTAATATACATAAAATTACAAATATTATTATAAAATTCCTTGCATGTATCATTTCCAATCAATATTTCTTTTTAGTATTTTATTGCAATTAATATTTCATTTATTGATTCACTTAAAATAAAAGTACGTTTTCAATTGGTAGCGCTAAAATTTAAAAGATTCTGTTTCACAATCAGTGGCATCTCAGTATCTAAAAAATATTGCAGTAAACATTCTAGATATAAGAGTTCCATTAATATCAGAAATGCTCCATTTAGGACATGGCTTAAAAACAGGTGAATTACTAGGAAATCCAATATTTGATCGACAGATTAGTTATTTCATAAAAAACCTACTACCTCCATTTTTCTGGATTCTCAAAATTTCAATACACAATGTGTAAAAGCAAAAGCACAGCGAGTTGTCTCTGCTGAATGTTCAACTCAACAGCTACAAAACATGCATACCAACTTCAATAATTGACAAATTTGTTTATGTTTTGAAATTAAATAAAAAAAAAAATGTCCCATATTCTGTAAATATTCCTAGGTTTTATAAATATAATTGACATGATTATTGTTTGTACTATTCCATATGATTATGGTATGGTATGGTATATTTAATTATGGCAAAGCACACTAGGGCTATCTGCCTAAGGGGAGGACTTTCTAAGGGAAACTGGCTCGTATACATGTTACACATGGGAAAAACCACGAAAACACCCATGCAGCCAGCCCGTTCACGGGATTCGAACCTCAGACCGAACTACCAGTGTTCAGAGACTTTACCGCTCGGCCGCTGGTGGGCCCATATGATTATAAAGATCCTTTTGTACATTCAGTAATCAAATAATAATGTTTTCTAGATACATATGCAAGTGAATGCACATGATCCAGAAGACTCAATTAGGAAAGAATTTCTGGATTTCTATACCCGATATGTTTCAGATTTGTAGAATGGTTAGTGAAATTATAGCACCTGAAGAATTTAAAAAGTTGCAATGAAATTACGTTTCAAGTTTGTAGAATAGATAGTGAAATTATAGCACCTGAAGAATGTTAAAAGTTGCAATGAAATGAAAAGATTGCTCACCTTTTGAAAATACCTATGCTCACAAAAGATTGTAGAATGTAAACACACGAAAGGAATCTTAACTATTCATTTATATTTGATGATCATTAATTTTGCTTCATTATCTAAATAATAACATTTAATACAAACTTTAGAGAGATACATCAACATACCATATTCAAATATTAAGAAATAGTTATATTCTCATATATTTATATAAGGTGTAAACAGTTAATATCTGAAAACATAATTTTCCATGGCTTAATTTTTAAGTGATTTTTATTTAAATTACAATTTAATTGCTAAAAGCAAAAAAAATATTGATATCAGGACTGGATTTAGAAAGGTATGTATGGATGGATGTACATGTTCATGTATGTATAGACACATGTATATGCACATGCATACAAATACATATATACACACATGCAATGCATATGTACATATATTTCTGAATCCGGTCCCGATGGCAGAAGAAGTACCAAAATACTTCATATAATTTTCTATTAATTACCTTAAATTTAAATTTATTCTGATACTCACTGGTTATAGCAGCCTCAGCAATAAACAGGAATTGGCATTGGCGAAGTTAGGTTAGGTATTCAACCTAGTCAATATCACAAAGCACATGAGGTTATCTGCCTGACAAAAGGGAATGGGAACTGGCTCACATTGAAGTTGTGTTACACATAAAGAAAACTTCAGCCAAACTGTTGATTGGGTCAAAACCAGATTGAACTACTAGCATTCAGCAGTTTTAACAATTTAACCACTGTTTATACAAGCTTAGAACCACAGATGGTTACCAATATACACACTATTTTTTATGATAAATATAAATAAAGCAGTACAAAAAGATGAGAAAATTTCATTAAATCTCATATGCACTATTTCATTCCACAGCTTTTTGCCATTTCCCCAGCAGTTTGAAAATTCCTCTTTAAAAAAAAAAAATATCTTTAGACTTATACATAATGAAGTTATCAAGGTGCTGTCGGACAAGCTCCAATGAAACAAATTCCAAGTTGCTCAGAGAATTCTGAAGTGATCTGAAAAGATAAAATTCCTAGAGGACAAGCCTGTTGGATATGTGAGGTATCAAACACCCCAGCATACTCAATAAGTCTTTGTCAGACATTAATTGAAATGTGGGGCCGAGCATTGTCCAAATGAAAAACAACGCCTGGATGACTGGGCAGTTGCAGACGCTCTGCTTTAAAAACTAGCATTTGAGAACATTATTTTTTCTGAATTTATTGACAAGAATTCATAATATATTGCATATAGCATGCACCATCTTCTTTATGAAGAAACCTGAAAGATACATATGCGATGCTGTTAACTTTTGAAGCTATTCATTTGAAGAATTTTTCCAGGTTTTTGAACAATGGTATACTAAATTGACAAGTGATAAAGGGAACAATATGTGTGTAGGGAAAATGCTGGAGGGAAAAAATAATTCTGCAAAGAGAGTAGATTGCATTCAAGAAAATGGAAATCAAGCTGCAGCAGACATTTGGTGCTGGTAAAACCTTCATACGTGAGTGGTAGAAAAATGGGCTATCCTAGAAGAAAGTGTTGCAAACTGGATCCTAGTAAATTGCTACAATGAATTAACTGTAACAAGAAACAGCATACGTTTATTTGCCTTAGTGGACATAAATGAATGCAAATGAAAATAAAAATTTTAAAGCAACTTTGAGCGGTGTAGTCAATTTACTGCACACAATAATTTAGTTCTAAGAGAAAAAAAAAAAAGTTTTGGAAAGGCTTCTGAAAGATTTGGATAACGATTGATAAATTTTCAGAAGTACATTATTTACTGTCACATATTGGAAATATGGATCAAACTCCAGTAATGTTTGGTATGACAGGAAATAAAGCAAATGATGTGACAGAAACAAAAATGGTTCATATAAAAACAAAAAGTCATGAAAAATCTCACCTCAGGAAACCACCGTAGTGGTTTCCTGCTTAGTGGAAGGTACAAAATTAAAACCCATGGTTATTTTTAAAAGAAAGACAATGTCAAAGTGTAATTATCTGATGTTTTCATTCATGTTCATTAGAAAGGATGGATGGACAAAAATGATATGAAATAGCAGATAAATGTTTGGCAAAAGTGTTTTATTGCCTTAAAAAGAGTCCAGAAAGTCTTCTAGTTTAAGACATGATCCCATCTAATAGTGTAAAGAACTTGCTCAACGAGTGTAAAACAGATATGGCAATTATTCTAGGCAGATTAATGACATTAAGCCTTTAGATGTGTGTTTTAATAACCATTTAAAACAATAGTGAAATAAGTAGATGTCAGAAGGAGAAAAAGCATTTATAAAAGAAGGCCAATATCCTGCCAGTCCAGATACAGTGGGTCGGTGGATAATAAAAGCATGCATAAAATTAAACCCAATATAATTCAAAAGTCATTAAAAAAATGTAGTACATCTAACAGTCTAGACAGAATGGAAGATTATTATTTATTTACGGATCAGAGTAAGAGTTTCAGAGTTTTACGGATCAGAGTAAAGACGAAACAGAATTTCATGATGTGCCTGAAGACATTAACGGAAGACAAATGTGATGACCTTTTCATAATATTCGATAATCTTTTTTTTTTTTTTAAATGTTTAGAAGGTATGTCATTTCATTTCCATAAACAGCATATAGGTACATGCAGCAATCTAATTTTTGTATACTCATCTTTTCCTTATTTTTAAATCAATCATTTTTATATCCAAAGTATAACATGTACCTTCAAATTTTCATCTTATTTTTTAATTAAAATTATGTATTATAATATGCATATATATTACACAATATGAAACAGTAGAAAACATGGTAGTTCAATACAATCCCACAATACTTTTCTGGGCAGACACTCCCTTCTTGATGTTATTTTTTTTTTTTTTCCTTGTAACAATATTGTATAGCATCCACTCCTCATCTCCAGTTATGGGTCACTTAAAAAAAAAGGGGGGAGAGCTTCTTTATTTCGTTTCAGCAAAGAACCATAACCATATGCTGCAATTTGAGCAAGCATATTTTTCTCTGTCAAAGTATGAGGCATTGTAGCAGTTCACATACCTAATCTTCTAATGATGATGTACTGCACATTTTAGAAGATTTAGTGTACCTGACAGTTTCTGAACTATAAAATGTGCATTTACAAAGGTAACTTCTTTTAATGATAATCCAAAGCCAGTATCATTTTCGAGGCCAAAATTTCAATGCCTAAACTTCTCAAAACAACCTTTGAACTATGTCATCAGAAACAGCACTTGCTGGATACTTGCATATACAGCAAAGAGATGCCACTGAAGAGTTCAATGCAAATTAAATTTATGAGCAGCCTGAATAGCAGTTTTTCTTTGGTTAGTTTTAAGGTACTTTTTTGGATTGTCACCAAGTTATTATTTCATTTGTGGTAAGCTAAGTAGTTGAATTTTATGGAAAGCCTGTTATGATGTGATTGGTTTGATACACGATTGTGGTGATTTTGACTGATGGGAAAATATTTGTGAGGGCTTACTTAGGTAGGGATGCTGGTTAGGAATTACGTTGATTATTTTATGCTTTATACTGTAAAATGCCTGCTGTTAGTACGATTAACCTGAAGTTTCTATGCACTTTGGAATGATTGGGAAAGAAAACATTGATTGACTGGTGCGTAAATGAAGATTTAAATGGCTTCGTTCACCTCTCGGTATATTATGCAGCGAGATATATATATTTCAAAATCGGAGGTCATATCAACACTATGGAAGGTATGTGGGGTGCAATAAAAAGGGATTTTCGAAAGAAATGCTGAAGTTTCTATGCACTTTGGAATGATTGGGAAAGAAAACATTGATTG